TTACAGTTCAAGCAATTCTCACTTCATTGTTGCAAAGTGTCCCCCATTCACAAACAAATAGCATTGGTTACATACGACAAATAGTCTCAATCATTTACTCAGGCAAGAAGTGCTGTCATAGTCGATGACAAAAAATAATACACTCACAATTGCAGCAGCACATGCAATGTTGAGGAAAGTTTTGTTGAGCTTAGAAAAATGTCTCCATAATACAAATGGTGACATCTGTAAAAGGAAAATTTAGCTGAAACAGTTGCTTGGCAACAGAAAGCAGAACGTGGCAGTCAATGTTGGTTAAACTGCAGCACATCAATTTAACTGCTTATTCCCAACAGTACAGTTAAACAGCATGTTACTGAAACAATATATTGATACTTCATTTTTAAAAATAAATATATTCAAGACCTTTAAGTGACAATGAAGAACACAGTATACAACTACATTTGATTAACAACCACAAAATATAGTCAATTCACTTTACAGCATATTTTGTTAAGCAAAGAGACATCTCGATGACGTAATAATATGTCAAATGCAAGGATCACTGTTAGTATTATATGTTTAGCTCTACATTTGTGATGTTAGCCAGAGTGGTCTGAGATAAATGTAAAGCGACTGATATCTCATGGTTTATCTCTGGTGGGTTTTGGCACCACAGAATGTGAGGCTGGCAACAGGTTGCCTGATATCTGATGGATACTCTTCAATCGTAGATCAGCAAGAGCTGATTATCTCTGTTTCAACTGTGTTCCCGCTTGGCGGACTCCGGCCTGCTTCATGTATTATTGGGATCTCAACTCCAGTGTTTGAGTCAAAAGACCAGACAATAAAGTTTTGTGGCTAACTCAAGTTTATTCAAATATAAGCACAGCAAGAATAAGTAAAACATATACTACCCGGTTCTGGAGCAGTCAGCGTGCTTTGGCCCTCCGCCTCTCCGTGCCTGGTTTCCTGTCAATTCTGCTGCTTTATGTCAACAAACTTTCAACTTCATACCTTTTTGTTCATCCAATTATCAGGCATGTAGGCCGTTCGCAACTGGACAGAGTCAAGTGTGCTGTTACTTGTTTATCCCAAGAACCGGGCGTTTTGACGACAAAACAGCTTGCATCCTCCCAAGGCTTGTTGTCTTAAGGTTGTCTTCAACATTTCATATTGACCATTTCTTCTTAACCAGACAAAAACAACTTTTGTTATTAACAGATGTTGAGTGATGGTTCTAGTATAAAATGGTGTTATCCGCTAATTTGATTCATATAATAATCCTTGCATTTGATATAGCGCTTTTCACGTCTTCTAGACGTCCCAAAGCGCTTCACAGAATATACTGTAAAGTGAATTGACTGTATATTTGTGGGCGAACGCGGCAGCCAATTGCCCACAGCAGTGTCCCACAAACAGTCATGGATTGAAAATAACCAATTTATTGGTTTTTTTTGGAGGGATTATTATTAGGCGTGTGGAGTAAGGAAACTTGCCCAAGGTTTCGCCTGGAATTGAACTCAGGTCTCTCACTTGCAAAGCGAGTGCTCTAACCACTGAGCTACAGGACTCCATATAAACAAATAAACAACTTAATGTTTACAATTAAGTTGTAAACTTAATTGTAAACTTAAGCCCTGCCTTAAAGTGTTTCATTACATATATCATATTCTAACAGTACCGCACCACCAATGGTGGGTGCGCCTTCAGCCACTCTGCTCTCACCCTCTGGAACTCCATCCCGCAGTCCCTCCAACTCGCCCCCTCCCCTCCCTCCTTCAAGACCCATGTCAAGACTCTTCTCTTCGAACGTGCCTTCGGTCACCCTCCTCCTCCTGCCCCCACCCTCCCTGAGCCCCAGCTCAGGTCCGAAACACTGATTGTCCAGCGCCTTAGGACGTCCTCGTACGTGAAAGGCTCTATACAAATGTAATTTTTTTCTTGTTTAAAAGCATATTTATTTATGATGTACAAAACATGCCCTTCGTCCTTTTACAGCCATAAGTTATTCATAGATTTAAAGTAAGTATCACATTTTCTTCCATACATATATAGAAGTGCAAATTGCTAAGTGTTTATACAACAGCTTCTATATATACTGTTTGCTTGTTCATCTTATCAATTGATCTTTTATTTGTTATCCAGATGGAGCATGAGTGATCATGGTAACAGGCAGCTAAATATTTTAAACTCAATATAGTTTACTCTCACTTGTCATGTTGGACATTATGGACACATAGGCACAATACTAATACCAGGTATACTATACTAATACCATGCAATAACTGTTTGGCAAAACAGTGAAAATGATGGAATAACTAAATAGTAATTAAAAAAGGAAAGATCATATGTTCTGCTATAAAACAGAATCTCTTATTCTCCCCATTACATATGATGAGCTACAACCACTTCTCAATGTAGGTCATGGACAGAATGCTCACATTTCCTTTCCCCTGAAACAAAACAGTACAATATATAGTTGTATTCCTTTACAGTGAAGCGTATCTTGATGGAATAATATTTGTTCAATAAGTTATGTGTTGGACTGATTGCTTTCTCCCATTAGAAGATACATTGGTTTGGAAAAAAAACAGGTAAAAGCGAGGTGAGAGAAAGCCAGGGTTTTGCAAAAAAAAACTTAACATTTTTGTAGCTATTGACTGCATTCTTGCAGCAGTCAGCATTTGAATAACGTAAGTCACATCTCAAGCCATGACTGAGGTTTATCTGATAATTAATCAAATGGAATCTTGGCTGCAAGCGAGGAGTACAATAACACACTTTTTTTTTAAATGTCAATAAACCTTGTCCATCCGATTAAAAGTACAAGTTAGATAAATGATTATGGGTCCTTCAATCTCTTCTCTAATTCAGATAATGCTGTGATGTTCGCTTCATCTACTTCATCTTGGACCTGCAGATTTGTAAAAAAAAATCAAATGACAGGTTGAAATAAAGACTTCTAAAGTAGTATTGGTTACAATTTCCAGTAGACTACATGTTTAACTTAGAAATGAATATCATATATATAAGTAGTTTCCCTACTTTGTAATAATCTTGAGTTATACTTACATGTGACATAGCACTTCAACATGTAAAAAGAGCTTAAAAGTAATTCACAGTATGAGGTACTTTGAAACATGTTGATTTAACATGGTGATGGTATGGCACCCAAAAGAGACCTCCACCCCTTCAGTTTAAACAGCAAGATTACATTTGTATAGCGCCATTCACATCGGGAGGATGTCCCAAGGCGCTGGACAGTGTACAGCATTTCAGACCCGAGCTGGGGTCAGGGTGGAAGGGAGGGGAAGGGAAGGGTGGGGGGCGATGACATGGTTGAAGAGGAGGGTCTTGAGACGGGACTTGAAGGAGGCTAAGGAGGGGGCGAGGCGGAGTGACTGGGGGATGGAATTCCAGAGGTTGGGGGCAACAGTGGCTGAAGGCTATCCCACCAACGGTGGGGTGGGTGGGTCGGGGTACATGGAGCAGGCTGGAGCTGGCTGAGTGGAGGGAACGGGCGGTTTGGTAGGGGGTTAGGAGGTCTCAGAGGTAGGGTGGGGTGAGGCCATGGAGGGCTTTATAGGTGAGGACCAAGATCTTGAACTGGATCCTCTGAAGGATAGGGTGCCAATGGAGTCGGGCGAGAGTGAGGGAGATGGGGTCACGGAGTTTGGTGTGGGAGAGGACATGGGCTGCAGAGTTCTGGATTATCTGCAGCCTGTGGAGGGAGGAGTTGGGAAGGCCGACAAGCAGGGCATTTGCATAGTCGAGCCTGGAGGTAATGAAGGCATGAACAAGAGTTTCAGCGGCCTGAGGGGTGAGGTAGTGGCAGAGTCGGGTGATGTTACGGAGATGAGGGAAGGCAGAGCGGGTCATGGCTTGGACGTGGGGAAGAAGAGAGTTGAGGGTCGAACAAGACACCTAGGTTTCTGACTGGCTTGGTGAGTTGTAGTGAGCAACCATGGAGGTTGATGCTGCCAGAGCCTGAGGTGCAGAAGCGCTGATGCGAGCCAATCAGGAGGGCTTCAGTCTTGTTCACCTTCAACTGTAGGAAATTTGCCCTCATCCAGTGACTTGATGTCTGACAGGCAGTCTGTCAGGACACAGGGGTCCTGAAGTTGAGGGTGGAGGCAGAAAGATAGAGTTGGGTGTCATCCCTGTACATATGGAAGGTGACCCCATGTGCGCGGATGATGTCACCAAGGGGGAGCATATAGATATTAAAGAGGAGGGCCAAGGACAGAGCCCTGGGGGAATCCAGACGTGACAGAGCGGGGACTGGAGGAGAAACCGTTAGAGGCACTGGAGACAGTGAGAGAGATAGGAATTGAACCAGGCAAGGGCAGGTCTGCAAAAATTGAGTAAATCGGAGAGGCTGTGTATGAGGATGGAGTGGGCGACAGTGTCGAAGGCGGCAGAGAGGTCGAGGAGGACAAGGAGGCAGAGGGAGCCCTGATCACAGATATTCAGAATGTCATTAGTGACTTTGACCAGGGCTGTTTCCGTGCTGCTCACAGCACGGAAGCCAGATTGGAGGGGTTCAAAGAGGGAATGGCGAGAAAGAAAGGAAACTCCATTCAAGGCATCTTTACCAGTCCATTCCATTAATTATTAGAATGAACATATTTGACTGCCAGTTGATGGACCGGACCTAAGAGGGATAATGTGCTAAAATAGGAAGGTACCGAAGAACACAGGAAAATAGCAAAACATTTTTTTTTACTAAACACCCCTCATCATTACAAAAGGGGCCAAGTCTCCAACCATAAGGTTTGATTAACTTTCTCCTGTTTTGGCTAGATGTATATCAAATATAATTATTCCATTTCACCTGTTCAACTCCATCAACTTCAGGAATATAAAATTGCAGCATATTTTGGATTCCACTTTTTAAAGTAACAATCGAACTTGGGCAGCCAGTGCACGAACCCACCAGCTTCAGCTTCACAATGCCATTTTCAAAACCCTTGTAAACAATATCTCCTCCATCCTCTTGCACTATCGGCCTGTGAGATTGAAAGAAGACAGAACCTTAATTTTGCATGAGGAGTGTCAAAACATTGAGCTGTTGAAAAAACTTTAATAGCAATAATCCTGACATTTGATATAGCCTTCTGATGTCATTAACACAGCTCACAGTGTTTCATAGAATATACTGCAAAGTTAATTGACTGTATATTTTGTAGGTGGGTTTCCCCAAGTGATTGGAATGTAAAAATTGATGTGGTCGGGTTACATATATCTCAACAAAAGTCAAATCAGTTGCATTGCAAGGGTTAAACAATTGTACACAATCGTATGTCAAGACAAGTTCAACTTGCAATAAAAGTTCATCATACCTTTTTTATACAAAATATCCATTAATGTAAAGGTCTCTCCTACAAGGGTAAGCTTCAGAAAATTATTGGTTGTAAACGTGAAATCTATTTCGTCCAAATTCCATATCATCACAAATCAGCACTACCAAATCTTGGAAAGGAAACCTTTTTGAACAAAATTCTACCAAGAAACAAGTGCAATAATGTTCTACAAAAGGCAGAAGTGTATGTAACAGACTATGGAAGAAGAATATTAACCTGGACAATGGAAGAAATAAGTAGAAGTATTTAGAGAAAATCAGAATAGCTCAGGCACAAAGCCCACGAGAAAAAAACATGAGGATGTGACTTGAAAAGTCATGTTGTTAAATATACAGAAAGGAGTTCATGCCAAGCATTTTGACTGGGCAAACACAGGTTGAGAGCTGATTCTTTCCACAAGTAACCTTTGTATATGTAACCTATGTGACACAATATGTGATTAATATTTGTTAAGTCAGTTAAATTACATAAAAAGAAATGTAGTTTGTTAATTACCTTATTCTTGTGTCCAACAGTTCTTTAATCATTGCAACCACTTCATCGTCCTCCTCACCATCCTGTGACTGGGCTAAAAGATAAAATGGGTTAAACTTCAATTAAAAACAGTAGTTTATGAACCCCAATAACTAACTTTCTGAACAGATATAAGTTTTTATGTAAATACCAAAGAATTCACTGAATAATGATGCAACCCTGGTAAGATGTTTCACATCACTACTCTTTTTACAATATGCCAAATAAAGATTTTGAAACACAATATATCTGAAGGAGATTGTAGAATTAATTATTATTAATATAATAACCTTTACATTTGACATAGGGTCTTCATGTCCCAAAGAGTTTCACAGGATATTTTCTTAAGTGCAGTGACTGTATTTTGTAGGCCAATGGACTATTATCTGTTTATCTATTAGTATGCAATGGCGATATATTAAGAGCACAATGCTACTCACCTACTGTTTCAATATACTTTATTCTTAAAGGTGAGAAGTTGAGATCCCACAGGATAAAAGAACACCACCTTCACTTTGACACAAGAGTGAGAATAGCTAGGTGCAAATCAAACTGAACTCTGTTTCCTCATGGTTGCTTCCTCCCTTGCCTCCTTCAAGGCCGGTCTCAAGACCTCGTCTTCGATCGTGCCTTCAGTCGCCCTCCCTCCTCTCTGCCTTCCCTCACCCCTCCCCCATGCTCGGGTCCTGAACCCTGACTGTCCAGCGCCTTAGGACATCCTCCCGACGTGAAAGGCGCTCTGTAAATGTAATTTTATTGTTGTTGTTGTTGTCCCTTAAAAATTCTCAGGGGCCCAAAAACATTTATCAGGTACATTATTTAAATGTTATTAAGGAGTCAGTGGCACAACTGGCTTTTTTAATAACTTTGAAAATAAATAACCTGTTTTGCGCATCTAGTATCACAAAAACAATCCGTGAATTTACTTAATCTTAGTGTTCACACATCATAGTTAAAAAACGTTTGAAAAAGTAAGTTAGAAAGAAATACGAGACTTGATAAATGATGTGCATATTTTACTTGGGTCTTAATGTTTTGTGCAAAAACAGTCACTAGAGTTTACAGTATATTCTCTGAAGTGGTTTGAGATGTTTTAACGACGTGATAAGGTACTATAACAAATGCAAGGATTCTTATTACTACAGAATGCTAATTCAGTCTCTTACCAGAATCAGCCTGTGAGACTTCCTCTGTCATTATTGGGAGACCACTGGCAAAAAAATCCACAAGAGCTGCAGAAACCCGAGGTCTAAGATCTTTCCATTCTATCTCATTTTGCTGTGAAGATGCAGTATTTTAATTAAATGAAACAATATACACTAAACCCACAAGTTAAAATGGAGATGGATACAATTTTTTTGCCAAGAGCAATATTTACCTTTGTTATTGTAATGAAATCTCGTCCAAAAAACACACTTTTAACCCCTTCTATTTGGAATAGCTGCCTGCAATAGAGAATTATTATTATTCAGTATTATTGCTTTTTTAACAATATGAACATTTTCTAAATTTCAAATAATAGTCCTTGCATTTGATATTGTGCCTTATCACGTATTTGAGACGTCTCAAAGCAAGTTACAGAACATACTATGAAATTAATTGACTGTATATATCTCTTTGAGACCAAAAATGGTCTTTTTTTCCATTTAGCGGGAAATTGTAGAATATTATTTTCATTGTTATAATAATCCTTGCATTTGATATAGTACCTTATCACATCTTCAAGACATCTCAAAGCGCTTCACAGAATATACTGTTAAGTGAATTGAGTGTATATTTTGTGGGCAAAACGCGGCAGCCAATTGTGCACAGCAGTGGTACACAAACAGTCATGGATTGAGTGACCAAATTATTATTTTTTTTGAAGGTATTTTTACAGCAATCCACAAATTGACTAACAATCAGGTTCCTACTTACTGCTAGGTAAACAGAGGCATGTGGAGCAAGGAAACTTGCCTAACGTTTCGCCCTGCCTGAGAATCGAATTCAGGTCCTCTTGCTTGCGAAGCGAGTGCTCTAACCACTACGCTACAGGACTCCATACAAGCCATAGGTCCTCTAACCACTAAGCTACAGGACTTTTTACAAGCACATATGCACACACTGAAATATGGACAATTTACTTGTAGTGCTACTTACTGAGCCAGAGGTGAGCAATGAGCCGTACTAACATTTGGAAAATCAATGCTGCCCGATTCTGCAACTTGACATCGAGGAAGAAATTTTAAGCTGTTAGGATTTGGCGTATCCTGAGTCTGTATCGCCATGAATCGTACTGAAACCAAAATGTATATTAAAGGTTAATTTATACAGTTATAATCACATTCATCAGTGTTTTTTTAAATAGTCAAGGGCATGATAAATAATTCTTATAAATTAAATTTGAGTTGTTTCAGCAGTAAGTGGATAAATATCTTAAGAAATATTTTTTTCTGGAGCTGGGGAAATTTAGCTGATTTACCCAGGGAAATAAATTGACCAAGCTTGAATAATGAAAATTGATAGATATTATGGAATTACAAGTCATAACATTTGTGGATCTGGAATATTTATGCAGAACGTTCCTTCATATTAAGGAGGTGGGGTAGGTTGGTTTATAGAGTGATTTAGGTCTTTAGAGAAAGCAGACTTAATGAGCTGACTCAATCCATCCCTTCTTAAGTTCTTATGTACTAATGGGGAGTGAATCTGGGCCGCAAGGAAGCAAATTATTGGATCAAAAGAATTACAAGTTTTTAGCTTGTGTTCACACAGTACACAATTTCTTTTAGGAATAGGAAACGATCATTGGGTCCAATAATTTTGTCTCCTTTCAGTAACTCAGCAAACGTTTATGAATAATATTGTTCCAAACAAATAAAGGATTAGAACTTTGGCAATATAGTGTTCACTGAATTACCATACATTTGGAAAATCAAACTTATTACTAAATGTTATTTTAATACAATGCACAATTGTGAAGCTTTACAAATAGACGTCACAATGATACAGTACAAAAGAATTTTAAAAAGCACCAAGTAACTGGATTTTCACTTCTGGTAAAACTCTGAACACATTAGGTAGAAAATTGCTTTGAAGAATGAAACATAATATTTAAGATCCCAACTGTGGTCAAATTCTGGCATGTTGACTGTATTGTAATATAGGAGTGCCTATGATTCTTTAAAAACAAGTCATTGTGGCCTCAGGAAGGCAAAGTGTCCCCTCACAAACCATGTTCCTTATGCACCATTAAGAGATGAGGGGAGGGGGTTAGGATCTTGCCTTAGGATTACTCTTTTGGCAAACAAGAGACGTCACAGTAAATTTGATCTTTTCTTTTGGCACACATGATTCTGATGTCCTACCAGGATTAACAAGGTTATCATCTGGAATTGAGGTTTCAGTGATCACAGCAATAAACAAGACATTGCTGCCAGAAGGCATTAAGGTCAGGTCAACTGAGCAGCTAAAGTGACAGAGAATCTTTCTTTTGCCAGCACGAATCCCAGGCTGGTTGGTCTACACCTCATAGGCAGATTAGAATCTATTAAAATCTATAGAGATTTTATATTTAAAAAAATCTCCCAATGGACATAACAACCATTAAAATAATCTTAAACTGCACTAAATTGATTCTTGCTTCACAAGCTGATGAACATGCCTTCCTTCATGTTTGAGCTACTGTTCAGATTCAGATGCATATCAAATATCCCACTGCTACCTCAGAACAAATTTGAGATTGTTTCCTTCCAGCAAATTAAAACTTTCTAGGTAAGAGCATTCGTTTCACTGAGGAATAAAGTTTACATTTACTTGGCATAACTACATTGTCCCCTACCAGCATATATTACAACAGAATCTCTCTTAAGATATGTAATGCTGTAATTGACCAATGCACCATCAACAGCATCTATGCAGCAATATGAGCAGAAAGTGTGGTTACACTGCCATTTGCATCATTACGGAACAAGCACTACAGATATAAGTTTTATGATGAAACATGCTAGAGTTGCAAGAGATAAAAGCTTATCCTCAGTGTCAACACCCACCCACGCCACCCCCCCCACTGACAAGTTACTGCTTGGGTAACAAATGTTCCAGGAACCTACCCTGTATCACTATAAAGACATCCTCTTTTCAAACACAAAATACATGCCATTTTTAGTAATGATGAGCAGTAATAGTGATGGTAAAAAATGCTACTTGTGTCCATGCACACAACCTAGCAGTAGGTGGGTCCACAGTACTCCAATACAATGCTGCTGATGGCTCCAGCACAATCAGGCTGCCTCATGGGCTAATAAAAAATTACGTCTGCAATCTTTCCGTGGAATCAGAAAAATCCAACACTCCCCGTAGAATCCAACATTCTCTGGGAAAACGATCAACCATTGGTTTCAGTTTTGTTAACGTTCAGTTGAAAGATATTAAAGACTGAATCATGATTTGATATCTGACAGGATCATCAAAACAGCAGCTGTCTGAATGGAGACAGAAAAGTCTAGCTGAGTGGGAAAGATCAACCCCAAGTTAAGTGTGCACTCCCTAATGTAACCCTGTTCATAAAAGAAAAGTATTGTCCTGCTAAAATCCTCACCAGTATTCAATAGTTGGAATGTCATAAAACTACTAGTGAATTTGCCGTGGAGATGAGTGGCTAGTTTTGAGTTATCTTAATTTAATGACAAGATGAGCTTTCTGTACCATCTAGTGGCTGTAACTACGCATGCAAGATCAACACTTCAAAGAAAATCATGTGAAACTTCTTGAAGTCTGGCAACTTGCAATAAAAATATTTTCAAAACATTTTAAATTCAAATCATAAAAAATGTCAACTAGATATCTGCCAGTACTCTACGTTAAAAAGAACTTTTGCATAAAATGTCTCTGATTATGCAGCACTCCCAAAGCATTACAATTTAAATTATTGCACTATGAAAAATCTCCAAGCGTGAATGCGAAGAAAAAAATAAATTAAGCTGTACTTAAGCTCTGAAGCATCTCCAATGCAAATTGACATCCTTTCGCTGACGTGAGAGATTGACTACATCAATGAACATCCTATGATGTATGATAAGTTGCTTTAGGAGAGACAAGCTCCTAAACACATTGGCGGAAATATCACACACGACTGAAAAAGTAACAAGAATACATGAGGATGATTAGTCAGGGTATCATCTCACACTGAGACAGGACTGCCTCGGTGCAGTGGAACAACAAAATCAGTCAAAATCAATTAAATGTAACACACTGAAATGTTATACCGAGGCTTTTGTTGAATCTTAACCAAGGACATCATTCATGCTTTCAAAGGGTAAATGCCAACTAATGAATATGTAAATGAAAAATAATGTTCTTTTAAATATCTACTGGCATTCTGCTGCCAGTAGGACTAATATGGTAACATGCATATGACAGCTCAATAGCAAACGGTATGTGCTAACTAACACGGATGTCAGGTTCTATGACAAGCCGTCAATAAATCTCATCAGTATTGTAACTCTCTTTGAAAGTTTTCATTAAGGCTCGATGTTCACAATGATAAATGAGGTTGCACACTCCAGGATGAGAATCTTCATAACCTACATATTATAACAGTAATTTTTATTTTAGGATGCATAAAATTGAATCATTCTTAATAGCTAAGACAAACGTGATTCAAAAATATATAGAATGTTTATGGGGGCTCTAATCTAACAGTCATCTTTTTACTGCCTTTTGTCGCTTTGCATTTGAAGGAAGTCTCTATCCTTCAAGCTGGGAAAATACTAATATTGGAAAAGCTTGCATAAATTGTTAATAATCCTTGCATTCGATAGGGTTCCTTTCTCATCCGGAGGATGTTTCAAAGCACTTCACAGTATATCCTGGAAAGTGTAGTGAGTATTTTGTACATAAACATGGAAATCAATTTGCACACAGCAATATCCTACTAACCATCATAAAGTGAATGACCAATTTTATTTGTGGGACTATTAACTAGGACAATGGGAGAAACTCGCTTCTCTTTTCAAATTGTACCATGAATTTTTTGACATCTACCTAAACAGACAGAACCTCGGTTTAACATCTCATGTGACACACAACATCAACAGTGCAACACATCCCCAGTGCTGCATTGGAGAGTCAGCTTAGACTATAAGAGTTCAGTCCTAACCCAAAATGATCTGATTCAGAGGTAAGAGTGCTACCAACTGAGCCAGGCTGACATCTATTATTTTTGCTTGCAAGGAAATGGAACAAACGGCTAACTGTCAATTATGCAAAAAGGTAATTCATATTTATAGTGTATTCAGCTACTTTTAAAAATTGGTGTACAATTGTACAAGTGATAATCATACACAATATTTGGATCCAGCATTAGTGCCACGTGTGGCAAAGTCTGTGGCTCTTGAGTTTTCAATCATCTATTTTAATAATACAATCAAATGAGCACAACAAAACTGGAGCTACAGCTATCCCTTCACAATAAATTTCTTAAGAGTCTCACCCCCACCCCATTGCTTTTTATAAAACCTCAAAAGTTAGAAAACATTGTCGTCAACATCCTTTTCTATTATTCTGTCCTCTTGTGAATTTTCTTTAAATATTGCGGCTAACGATAATCAATGGGTACTGACCTGAAGGGGTTGCTGAGGGAGATAGACCAAGATGGTGGAGTTAACATTAGTGCAGAGTCGTTAACTAAATCTCATGGGGTCATCTCCAAGTGTTCCTCTACAATTAAATTTCCTAATTATTTTGTTTTTCTTTTACATCTGAAGGGAGAAAAATGGCCACGGGTAGTACTTCGTGTTCAAATTACTCCCATAGCCAACAATATTTTACTTGGGAGTATATGGGACTCAATTCCCAGGCTATTCTGATCATTTGTGTTGCTGGAAGGATCTAGGTGCATTCAGAATGGCTCAATTTACTAAAAAAAAGTATTTTGGAGTTCCCTACCCAGCATAGTAATAATAATAATAATAATAATCCTTGCATTTGATATAGCGCTTTTCACGTCAGGAGGACGTCCCAAAGCGCTTCACAGAACACACTGTAAAGTGAATTGACTGTATATTTGTGGGCGAACGCGGCAGCCAATTGCGCACAGCAATGTCCCACAAACAGTCGTAGATTGAAAATGACCAATTTAATTATTGTTTTTGGTTTTTTGGAGGGATTATTATTAGGCGTGTGGAGTAAGGAAACTTGCCCAAGGTTTCGCCCTGCCTGGAAGGTTACCTGAGAGCAGGAAATACTCATCCAAACTGCTCTTTCTCCAGGCTGAGTAGTCTTCATCATCAGCTCTTAGGTACACTCCTCCATCAAATATTAATGGAAACTTACTGGGATAAACCTGAAATCTTCCCATTTATTCATAATTTGGGTGGTGTGACAGCTGAGAAATTTGGTCTGAGTAATGCACTAAATGCATGGATTCTTTGCTAAGGGCATTGTTTTATACTCGACTGAAGCTGATGGAAATACAATACTTTCAAAAAGTACTTCCCATTTACCCATTTAGAGGTTTAATTTTATTGTCATCTTACAAATAGCAGTTTAGGCATAAAAGTCGTACTAGGACATATCTCAATCTATATACTAATTTAATTTAATCGTATTGAAACCCAATTCAATTAAGTTTGTTTTTTGACACTTAATGTAAATCCCAATTTTAAAAGGCAATAGAAAACATGATCCAAGTTTAGAAATTCTAGATTTTACATGCCATTAGGCATACCTATTTTGAATTGCTTTCATCTTATGTTGCTGACAGGCAAGAGGTATAGAAGTGTTGGCAAGATGTAAGAGGTGTATATAATATATAATAATGTAAATAAACAGATTACTGATGTCTGAAATCTTGACAAATTACATAGAGCAAAAAATCTTTAAGTATATATCTTGGTCTTTTTACTTTTCACCTTTAATCTAATTGTTATGTCAATTCTGCATCTAGTAATATCGATTTGTAGAAAATACAAATTGCAGTACACTAACAAATACAGTACTGCAGAAATGTAAGGCTTCAGAAATACCAATCCCATATTATTTAAAACAACAGTCTGTATACCATTCATTAATTTTGTTGCAAACTGGCATGCTTGTTGACAACCCAAGCAGCATTTTTTCTGATCAACATTGCTCCACATTGAACAATGATCAATGCATGATGCATCTCCAGGCAAAAAGCTCTACTGCCCTCTAGCATCAGCTACTGGTAATTATTTGCTGGCACAACATTTGCAGGCAATGGAAAATGCAATTCAGTTCAATAAAACTGTCACTCTGTACACAGTAATATATATGTATGAATGCATGGTAGTGACGCATTAGATTTTAAACAAATTGCACTGTTCAGTATTATTTTCAAATTCAATGTTATTTCTGTAACAAAGTTACCATGCTCATCTTTTCCCTCCTGATGATAATAACCTAGTTTAATTTTTCTTTCAGTGAGAGGCCCATTTCATGTTTCCTGAGAACAGTGCCTTGCTAAAAATGTTTTTTTTAAAAAATCTGTTATGTAATTAATGAATCTATGAATCCACATAAATGTTTCTGCTCTTTTCCTGAAAATATTAATTCATGCCAGAGTAGTATTTCACTTGTGCCAGCAACCGTTCAATGCTTCACTAGCAGTGGTGAACTGGATCCGTGAACTGGAAAAATGTGGGCGTCCAAAGGCCTTGCCCTCCCATATCGGTATCATCCGAACTATGGCATCTCCCCAGCCACCTGTGGCCCCCTCCCCTCCAGGCTTGGGGTGAGGCCAGCTAGCTGAATGGATGGTGGCGGAATGCTTGTGCGCTCATCATCATCTTGGCAGTACTGGGGGGGGGGGCAGTTTTCCTTTCCTCCAGGCTCCCGAGTGATCCCACCAAGCACCGAGTCAAAGTGTGGAGCATGACTGCGCAAAGAGGAAGAGCAGAAGAGCCTCCCCCTGTTTGTGTGCAAGTGCATAGAAGGCCAATGCATGGCTGTTCAAAGGGTAAGTGTTTGTCAGTCAATTCCAGGAGATCCAGCGATGGCCTGGTTGGTGCTGGCGGTGTGGTGATTTTTAGGTGCCATTTTCATGGGGGCCCTTGGGAGATTTCCCGATTTCCTAACCACCCCTGCACTTAAGCAACTACTTCATTACATCGAGGCTCGACTATGCAAGCTCATTGCTTGTCAGCCTCCCCAACTCCTCTCCACAGGCTGCAGATCATCCAGAACTATGCAGCCCGTTTCCTCTCCTCCACTAGGCTCCACGACCCTATCACCCCATCCTTGTCTATCTCCACTGGCTTCCCATCACACAGAGGATACAGTTCCAAGATCTGGTCCTTCAAAGCCCTCCAAGGTCTTGCTCCTCCCTACCTCTCCGATCTCTTAACCCTCTACCATTCTGTTCGCTCCCTCCGCTCAGCTTACCAGAAAAAAACCTGCCAGCAGGGGTGCATTGGCCTGTTCTACCAAGCCAGAACCTTCTCTGATTTTTTCCCCTTCCTGGGGCAACAACAATCCAAGTTGTTTTTGTTGTTGTAATGACATTAAAGGCTGACAGCTGCCACTCCTGATATTAGTACTAAGGGCTGCTCCATGGGTGTGTTTCTCAATTCAGAATGAAAAGTACAATTGTTCTTGGAGAGGCAAACACAAGACTGCGTTTATAAAACAATGGTCTGAGATGAGATATACATTATTGCAAAGCTGCAGGACTACATACAAATACAACAGGTTGCTGCTCAGTGGACAGAACTTTTGGAGTGCAGAATATTAGGAATATGAAACTTACAAAGCATGAAAATAGTTAGGGCTGAAGCAAATAATGGTGATACCAGAATATGCTTTGTTATAAATCAGTAGGAAAAGTGCAATGCACTCAATTAGGAATGTTGGCTTTTGCTGTGCTTCCCTCCAACAATAAAAATGTGTTCCTTGCCTTTATTTCATTAGTGAATTACTGGCAACAAGTTCTGGGGTCATGAGGCTGATGCTGTCACTTCCTGCACACTGTGTCCATGCACACTGCCATCACATCCTTTGTAAAGTGACATCAGCAACACTTCCTACATGAACAGCACGAAGGAACTAATGTCAATGACATTCCACTTGCATTGTGTGTAATTTACTTCATCACTACACAAGTTAGTCTATTGACTTATCACAATAAAAAGCAGTTAAGCCTCTCTAAAAGTTAGTAAGAAAAATAATAATCCTTGCATTTGATATAGTGTCTCGGTCCAGAGTTGCTTTTATTTAAAACACTGAATATTTGGAAGATATCATGTACCTTCCTTATATTATCAGGAATCTAAATGCAACTGATCATTTTAACACATTACTGATGATAGCCCAGTCCTCTTTTGGCTATACATGATCTTCAAAAATAAAATATTAGNAAAAAAATTCCTCAGCAGAAGGCAAGACAGAGCCCTGCAGCATCCCAGATCCAAGAGTGAGTAGTGATAATCGGGAGTGACAGAGAGGTAGTCAGCCCACAGGCAGGATTTGCAAGATGCAGAATAGACCGAAGAGAGAAAATATTTGTGGCAAAAATAAATGGCCCTTGTAAAGCGCAAGAAGACATAGAACTGAGCTTTAGGGGGAGAAATGAAGAACTACATCACCAATACACCTTTGAAATATTTATACAAATTCAAATTGCATAAAATGGATTGTGCTATATAGCCACGCAGCCCATGAGCTAAGAGAATGCCCATCAAATTTAAAAACCTAAACAATATTGGGAACTACTTAACAAAGATTTAATAAGACTAAATTCATTTTCACTATCAACTGCTGATTGCGAGAAACTAATCTCACACTCAAGAGGATCATGCTGGTCCAATGGCTCTCAGCCCCGAAGCTCTGGAACTCTATCCCCCAGTGCCTTCGCCTTGCTTCCTCCCTCTCCTCCTTCAAGGCCGGTCTCAAAACCTTTCTCTTTGACCGTGCCTTCAGCTCCCCTCTCGACTCTCTTCCCCCTCCTCGCTCCCTCCCTTCCCTCCCCTCACCCTGACCATTTCCCCCCTGCTCGGGTCATGACCCAACTGTGCCGCGCCTTGGGACGTCCTCCTGACGTGAAAGGCGCTTTATAAATGGAATCTTGTTGTTGTTGTTATTTCATGGCCCAAGTATGATTATTAAACCATTGTAACAGATAGAATTAAGACTTTCTATGAGCACTTTGTGATTGCATACTTCCACATATCTCTCTACAACATATTAGACAATCTGCCTCCATCCGTACTTCACAACCAAAGCATCCGAAACACTTGTCCACGCCTTTGTCTCTTACCACCTGGACTACTCCAATGGCCTCCTCGCTGGTCTCCCCAGCTCACTCATACAGAAAATTCACCTATCTCAAAACTCCACCGACCGGATACTCACCTGCACAAAACTCCGTACCACCATCACAACTGTCCTTGTCAGGCTCCACTAGTTCCCAATTACCGAACAGATTGATTTCAAGATCCTCTTCATGCACTCACACCTCCCTACCTATCTGAATTGCTTATCCCCCACTCCATCACCGGCTGCCTCTGCTTGGCTAGCTATGGCCTTTTTGTCCCTCATCCCCTCCGTTCCACCTTCAGCCACTGTGCCCTGAAACTCTGGACCTCTCTCCCTCAACCCTTCCATCTTGCCCCCTCCCTCGCCACTTTTATATCCCATCTAAAGATCATCCTTTTTAAAGAAGATCTTTAGGTGATTACGGTCACCTCCCCTCTTCCTCTGGATCAGTTTCAGACTCCGCAACTGTCAAGCGCTCCGGGATGCTACCCCACTCAAAGGGTGCTATATAAATCCAAGTTGTTGTTGTAGACAGCCTTGAGTTAATCTCTCAGAGAGGAAAAGTTTCTCAGGCATAGTAAGAGCTATTGCACAATAACATCTGCCAGCAGCACATGCTACACCTGCAACAATTGAGAATAACCCATTACTGCTCTCCACTGAGCAGTAATATACATTAATAGAATCATAGAAAGTTCACAGCAGAGGAGGCTATTTGTTTCATCATGTCTCTGCTGCTATTAGTTTCCCTAAAAGAATGATCTATTCGAATCCCATTCCTTTACTCTTTCCATATAATCATTTAGCATTATATTTCCTTGTTCTCTTTTAGATGCTGTTTTGGACTGATCCGCAATGTCAAAATGCTGATTTTTAAAACAATAACTATTACTTTTGGAAAATGAAAACTTAAAATTAATGAAGCAGCACATACCAGAAGCCAACTGCACTCCAGATGGAATCAAAAGTCTTGCCTTTTCTCTATATCGTGAAGTTGAACTGAATGCAAAGCAGACACATCTTGGATTGCATACAGAGAAAGACCTAAAATTTACACGTCCAACAAAAACACACAACACATCAAAATCATCACAAAGCTTTAAGGACACTGCACCTACAATAGGCAAGTACAACACCATATGTTAACATTTGAATTTTAATTCAATGCAAACTACATACTGTCTTGACAGAAAAGAAAGGGACCGTAGAAAGTGATGAATTTTTCAACAACTTTTCAACCAATTTTAACTGGGAAGCTATCATGTGTACTTGATAGCATATTTAGCACCTCCCTGTTTCCCAACATTGAAAGTTTCTGGAAGGCTGAGAACTTCAAATAATCAGCACATTTTAGACTGAGTCATCAGCATGTAATTTAACAAAAGTGTACAAAGGGTGTGTATAATTCTGATTTCAAGGGCATAGTCATCAGCGTGGGGTATGGGGAAAGTGCAGGTAAATGGGACTGAATGGACTTAAAAGAGCCTGCACGGACAAGATGGGCTGAATGGCTTTCTTCTGTGCTGTAAATTTCTGAGTCTACAGCACAAATTACACTGCATCAACACCTTTCGAATCATGTTTCTAAAAACATGGAAGTTCACATAGCCTTTTTATGTTGTCAAAACTACTTTTCACTGAATGTAATCACATACCATGGTGGGGCGAGGCGATTGACTATAATGTACTGTATGGTCAAGATTAATAAGAATAATAATCCCTCCAAAACCCAAAATATTAATAAATTGGTCATTTTCAATCTACGATTGTTTGTGGGACATTGCTGTGCGCAATTGGCTGCCGCGTTCGCCCACAAATATAGTCAACTCACTTTACAGTGTGTTCTGTGAAGCGCTTTGAGACGTCCTCCCGACGTGAAAAGCGCTATATCAAATGCAAGTATTATTATTATTAAGATAAAAAAATGCTAGAAATCTAGCTCAATCAGATTTGTACTACCCTTACGAAAATCAGTAATGAAATGAATAGGAAACATAATCAAACAAAAAGGCATGACTGCGTGCCAGTTCTATCCTATAATAATTCCTACAGATGTCATAGCATCTTTCATGTCAGGAGGACTTCAAAAAGTGCTTCACATAACATTCTGAACACATAAGGCAGACTGATTGGTTTATTATGTCATCAGAAGGACAACACCTCCAACAATGCAGGACTCCCCCAGCACTGAAGTGGAATGTCAGCCAAGACCGTACAAGCTCAAAATCCCAACATACGGCTAGAAACCCATGTTTTTCAGATCAGAAGGACATCTCGTAGGAATTACTGTAAAGTGTACCGACTGTATATTTTGCAGGAAAATAAAAATGATCTCATCACATTACACCAACGCTTTATACCTACTAATGCCAGCACTGCATGCAGTTACTCCAACATTATATCCGAGGAATATACTGGCCGAGTTGCAAGGTTTTGTGCGATGACCCATTAATGCACTAATGTTGCCTTTTAAAGCAAATAAAATGTGCAACCTCTATTAGCTTCCCTTCTTTGCCTCCTACAACTCCATATTCAAAACCATGAGTCCAGCCTCTCTCGGGTTGAAAACTCTTGAGACAGGTCAAGAACAACGACTCAATAATAATACGTGCATTTATTACAGCACTTTTCATGTTAGAGGACATCCCAAAGTGCTTCACAGAATTTACTGTAAAGTGCAGTGACTGTGTATTTTGTAGGTGAATGCAGCAGCCGATTTGTACACACCAATAATAATTCTTGCATTCGAGATAGCGCTTTTCACGCCTTCTCGACGTCTCAAAGCGCTTCACAGAATACGCTGTAAAGTGAATCGACCGCATAGTTGTGAGCGAAACTCGGCAGCCAATTGCGCACAGCAGCGCCCCACAAACAGTCGTGGATCGAAAGTGACCAATTTATCATTGGTTTGTTTTGGAGGGATTATTAGTAGGCGTGTGGAGTAAGGCCCAGGTGTTTCGCTCGCAAGGCGAGCGCTCTAACCACTGAGAGCCGCGGGACTCCACGTCCGACAAACGGCCGCGAGCGCCCCAATTTTATTTGGGGGACGAAGTCGGCCAGGACACCGGGAGAGAGAAGCCGCCTTCTCTCTCTGAGCGGCGCCATTGGGAATCTTTTAACGTCCCGCCCGGGCTTAACGCTGCGCGAGTAAACCGACCGACCGACCAACCATCACGCGTTGCCTGCTCACGGGACAGCAGAGGGCTATTTACCCGACTGTTTTTTTTTTGAAACTGTGTAAGAAAAGGTCTTCAAAGGGAAGGGAATGGGGGGGGGGGGGGGAAGAGGGGGTAATGTTTTGCCGGTTTAAATTAAAAAATTGGGCACCCAACCATTATGTGGGGCACAGCAGCTTTTTATATAGCATTTATACAGCAGCCCTCACGCGGGGTTAGCGTCCCAGAGCGCTCGACACCGAGTCGGGATGGAGAGGGAGAGGGAGAAGGTGACTGTAGGGTCAAAGAGGAAGATGTTCAGGTAACGACCTGAAGATGAGGGAGGGGTAAGGCTGGAGGGACAACAGAGGCAGAGTTTCGGGGCAACGGGGGGATGAGAGCGCGACCACCGAGGGCACGAGAGTCGAGCAGGAGGCCGGGGGGCGGGTCGGGTCGGGCCGAGCCCGAGGGTAGCGGGTGGACATAGGTCGGGTCAGAGAGAGACCGAGAGAGAGAGGGAGAGAGAGGTGCCCACAGGGCGGGAAGGGAATTCGAAGACGAGCGAGTGAGAGGATCTTGGATAAGGAGCCACTGGAGTCTACGGACGACGACAACGACCTCCACCACCGCCGCCGCCGCGTCTCCACATAACGGCCACTGGGCGGCCGTTGGGTTCGGGTCGGTCACGCACCTGCCTCGCGCCCACCCGCGCAGCAGCAGCTCGAGCCCTCGGCCGCCGCCTCGCGCCGCAGCCATCACCTTCGTCCCAGCGCCAGGACCCCAACCGCTCGTTCGCCCGCCCGCCCCCAACCTGCCCTGGCCCTGGCCTGCCCTTCCAACGCCTTGTCCGGAGTGGTGGGGAGGGAGGGAGGGAGGGAGGAAAGAAACAACGCGCTCGCTCGCTCGCCTCTAATGGAACGCTCTCTTTTCAAAAAAAAAATAATCATCATCATCATTTTTTTTTCTTCTTCGTCCCGCCCCTCTCCTCTCTTATTGTCGCCGATCATGAACTCCCGGGGCCCAGGGGGAGCGGCGCGAGTCGGGCAGCTATGGGACCGGGAGGACTCCTCCCCTCCCTCCCTCGCTCCCTCCCTCCCCCACGCGCTGCTCCTGAGCTGCGGGTTTTGATTGACAAGAAGCCGCCGACTGGCGGGCGGGCGGGCGGGCGGGAGAGGGGCAGAGAGGGAGGGAGGGAGGGCCGCCTTCACATCGCGAGCGGCGGACAGACAGCATGAGAGGCGGCTGGTCGAGCGCGCGGTGAGTAAGGCAACGGGAGGGAGAGAGGGAGAGAGAGAGAGAGGGGGTGGGGGAGAGGGGGTGGGGGGGGGGAATGACCTTTTTTTTAAAAAAAAATAATAATAATAATTATTATTATTTTGCAGTATCCTCACCTCATCCCCGACCCCCATCCCAACCCCTGGGTTAACGCAGCCGTTATTTTTTTTTAAAAAAATATATATATTTTTTTTATTGATTTACGCTCCCGCACAACACCACACACGCACCCGGTGTTTGTTCCCGGTCGGAAAATAACACATCACACACACTCACACACACACACACACACCGACACGGGATCGAGCTCCGGCGATGTAATTGCACGGGCGGCATGTTTTCTTTCTCTTCTCTTCTCTTTCCTCTCTCTCTCTCTCTCCTCTCTCTTTCCCTCTCCCTCCTTCCCTTCCCTCTCCACAGCCATTGCTTTGTTGCCTTCCCTCCTCCTCCCCCACCCCCACCCCCTCCTCTCCTCTCCTCCTGGGTTGCATTTGCTTGTGATGGAGGTACTGCGAGTGAGTGAGTGAGTGAGTGTTAGTGGAGGTGCTCTCTCTCTCTCTCTGCTCTCTCTCTCTCTCTGGTGCTGATGCTGAGAGGCTGGAGATGTCTAAAATGTGTCTGTGTCTGTGTGTCTGTCTGTTTGTCTGTCTGTCTGTCTGCCTCTGTCTGTCTGCGATTTAAACCAAAATAACCTCGTCCAAATATTATTTTTATATTTGCTGCGATTGTTGATGAATGATGATGATGATGATGATGATGATAATAATAATAATCCTTGCATTTTGGTGACGGTCGGTGCCTGTCACGTCAAGGGGGAATGCCTCAAAGTGCTTTGCCGTGTGTTTTGTAAGCAAACGCGGCGAACCGGTTTGCGTCCCCCCCCCCCCCCGCCACCCTCCGCCACACGCAGCGATGAAGCGAACGGGGTTGGGTTGGGGGTGGGGGTGGGGTGGGATGTTTAATTGGCCAGGAGGCCGGGGAAAAACTCCCTTCACTTTTTGAGTAGTGCCGTGGGATCTTTAACGTCCGCCTGTGAATAAGCAGATGGTTTAACGTCTCGTCTGAAGGATGGCAACTCCCAACCATGCAGAGCTCCCCCAGCACGATGCTGGAGTGAGCTCAAAGTTCTGCCTTGGAGGTGAGAGTGCTACCACCGAGTCACACCTGAACGTACAGCGTATATATTATGTCATTTGCAATGCTTTGCTTTTGCATTGATTCTTTGAAAATAATACCCAAATACAGATGTCATTTGAGAGCATTTTTGGTGCGGGAGTGTAAGTAAACAGATCTGCAGTTGTTTTTGTTTTACTCCAATTGCTCCATTGATGTAAAAAATATCAGAAATTTCTATTTTTCTTTGCACGTTTAAGCAAAGTTTACAAATTCAACTTGGATCTAAGGTTGTAACTTGTATCACGGCTGCGAGTGTCAATATTTTCAACTTAAGTTCGCAACTCTAAATTGAAATATTTCTTAAATCTGCCAATATTTATATTACAAAGCTTTCCACGTGTGATAACAATAATCCTTAGCATTTGCTATAGTGCCTTATCACATCGTCAAAACATATCAAGGATGTTTCAAGCTTCTCGGGATTTTATTGTAAAATGAGGTGACTGTATTTTGTATGTAGGCTCATCAGCCAAATTGTGCACAGCAATGTCCCACAAATGTCCATGAAACAAATGACCAGTTGTATCTGAGCAGTGTTGGCCAGAACATCTGAAGAAACTCTTCTGTTTTTAAATTGTGCTGTGGAATCTTTTAATGTTTGCCTGAAATAAGCAGGTGGGACCTCAGTTTGATATCTAACCTCCGATAGTACAACACTCCCCCAGCATTGGACTGGAGTGAGCGAGCTCACAGTCACCACGTGGGACGTGAACCCACAATCTTTTAACTCTGAGGTGAGAGTGTTATTCACTAACTCAGGCTGGCGCACGTCTCTAAACTGAGTCATTCTTCCAACAACAAGAACAAAATTACATTTGGGAGGACGCCCCATACTATCCTTAAATTGTGTTTCTCTCTGTATACGCTATATGCTCTGGGTAACATAATGTCCAGTGTAAATTACACCGGATACAATTTTTGCTAAATTACAAAATATACTTTTGTCCAATTGCAAATTTAGCAATCGTATTCTGTTTTACATGTTAAAGAGCATTTCAAATTCAGACCAACTTTTTGGTCTCTTCCGCTTTACTGTTGCTAATCCCTGAGTACATTCTGCTTGAGCCCGTTATTGCCTAATTTCGGCTAATCCTCGTCTTGTGACATGAATCGGAGGCATTAGACGTTCCCAAGTGGAATAGGAAATATTACTTGTCGTTCTGACAGGGGTGAGTGTCTGTGACAGCAGCACGTTCTCAGGGACTTTGCCTGCAAATACACAGTCACTGCACTTTACAAGGAGACCTGCTAAGAGCTTTGAAACGTCTCAATTTGGTGATAAGGCGCAAGATGAAATGGAAGGATTATTATTATGTCTTATTTATTATTATTATTATTTATGAGCCCTACTGTGGATTAGATAAGAAATAAACATAAAACACCCTGTATTCAGTTTGTGATCAAACCAGAAGGTGAAATGATGAAAAACACCTTTCAATGTGGTTGTCCACGAAACACACACAGTCACTGCACTTTACAGTGTGTCCTGTGAAGCAATTTCTGATGTCCTCCCGATGTGAAAGGCACTGTATCAAATGTAAGTATAATTATTTTAGTGAGACTTAAAACTTCAGTGGTGAGATCTTAATAAAATATTAATCCTTGCATTTAGTACAGCACCTTTCACGTCAGGAGTGTGCCTGCAAAGAGCAGTGACTGTATTTACAGGCGAACCCGGCAGCTGATTTGCGCACAGCGATGTCCCACAAACATCCGCAAAGTTTATCTTGGGGGATTGTTGGCCATGATACCAGAAGAAACTCCCTTCTCTTTAACTATCAACTCCAGAGGAATCTGAAACTGTTCCATTTAAACAGCTTGTAAAATGAAATGCATTAATATTCAAAAAAAATCTGAATTTTTATAAGCTGCTTTTGAAGTTGTCTTTCTTGTGATCTGTTGAAAGCAGCAAAGACATTTCCTGTGAAATTAAGCTTTGTGGTACTGTGCAAGTGATTTGTGAGATAATGGTGGTGGGGTGTGGAGGAGGAGAGAACTGAAGGGATGAAGGGAAGGCACTGGCCTGTCCGTAGGTAGATTATTTAAAATCAATGCAAGGATGGACATTCCATACGGATAAATATTTTACATTTTAGCACGTGGAGCATTCTTTCAAATGATATGTGCTGCGATGTTCTGTGAATAAGGAGAGGGCCCAAATTTAAGATGATTGCAAAAGCAATTGAAGAGATTGGAGCTACAGTGACGGTTCAGTTACAGTGAGACTGTTATACTATGGGTTGAGATGTAACGACAATTTGCATTCATACAGCGGGCTTCACTTTGGGAGCTTGTCTTGAAGCGAGATTTAGAGCCAACTGAGGTTGCAAGGGAGATGAAGGGAGGGGAATGACGACCGAATGTGTGGTTAAAAAAGAGAGGTTTGGTGGGGAGGGTGATGATAAGGGACTCCAGAATAAAATCCCAGAAAGTGGGGGCAAATGTCATAATAATAATAATAATAATCCTTGCATTTGATATAGCGCTTTTCACATCTTCTAGACGTCCCAAAGCGCTTCACAGAACACACTGTAAAGTGAATTGACTGTATATTTGTGGGGGAACGGAGGATGTCTCAAAGCACTTCACTAAGCTAACTGGGAGCCCGAGCTGGGGTAGAGAACCGAGTGGCGGAGGGGGAAGAGAATATGGTGGGACAGACAAAACACACAGTCACGCCACTTTCCAATAAATACGACAGTTGGTGGGACATTGCTATGCTCAATTGGCTGCCACGTTTCGGCCACAAAGTATACAGTCAATTCACTTCACAGTATATTCTGTGAAGCGTCTTGTGGAGTCCTGTAGCTTAGTAGTTAGCACGCCCACTTTGCCAGCTAGCGGAACCGGGTTCAATTCCCGGGCGGGGCTAAACCTTGGGCAAGTTTCCTTACTCCACACACCTCTGTTTAAATAGCAGTAAGTAGGAACCCAGTTGTTAGTCGATTGCCAGATCGCTCTCTAGCGGCAAAATAATTTGGGATGTCCTCCTTAACTGAAGGGTGCTATACCAATGTAGGGATTATTAGATTTTATTTGAAGTGCTGTCTGTCGGATGAGACGTTAAACTGACGCCAAGTCTGCCTGTCAAGTGGACATGAGGCTAAGCTTTTCCCCGTGTCTTAGCCAACAATTCTCCAGATGAATCGGCCATTCACTTCACAGCTGTATGTGGGATCTCGCTGTGCCTAAATTTACTGTGTTTGCTGACAAAATACACAGTAGCTAAATCTGACAGCAATTCCCAGTGATGCACCTTAGGATGGTTTGACATTATAGACTCCAGATCAAATGGAAGGCTTATTATGTTACATAACACCCTGTTATAGATCAATAAGGTATTGACTGTAAATATTTACAGGTCCCATTCAAATGAACAAAGAAGACATTGGAATGCAATTTGAACAACATCTGAAAGATGTTGAATTATGAGTTCATAATTTATAATCAATATAATTCATAATCAATAGTTTTTTTGGGCAGAATCTCGGTGCTAATCAATTACACAACATCAAAGTTCAACATACTTTTTCCTCCTTGAGATCGTGTTAGACCGTGCTAGACTTCGGCAGCATTATTCTGTTTTGAATTTCACTGTCCAGCGCCGTGAAAGGCGCTATACAAATGTAATCTTGTTGTTATTTGTTAGACTTTCAGGTCTAGCAATAAAATAATTGACAATAACAATAATAATTCAAATGCACTTGATATAACAACTTTCATGTCAAGAGCAGATCTCAAAGTGCATTCCAGAATATATTGAAAAGTAGAGTGACTATATATTTTGTGGGCAAACGTGGCAACAAATATGTGCAAAACAGTGACCTACAAACAGCCATGAAGTAAATGACTTATTTTATTTAGGGGATTGTTGGCCAGGACACCGGGAGAAACTCCCTTCCCTTTTTGAATAGTGCCATGGGATCTTTAACGTCCACCTGAGCAGGCAGACAAAATCTTAATCTCTCATCTGATAGATGGTAACTCCACCAATGCAACGCCGCCCCCCCCGCCCCCAGCATTGCATTGGAGTGTCATCTTAGACAATATGAGTTGCAAGTCCTGAACCGAGTGCTACCAACTGAACCAAAGTAAAATTACCAAGTGGTCCCTTTCAAAGGAAAAAAACACAGATTTGTGTGATGTGTTAAGGGACATGTAGGAACGCATTATAGTTACCACATAATGCACGACTTGGAATCAATGTCCTTGAATGCCTGGGAGCTCATTAGATGCAATTTAACCCTTTTTGTTTTCGTTTACAAATTACACAGTCATATGAGATGTTTGTGTTTTCCCAGAAAATCAGTCACTCCAGTTTACCTTGTATATCCTGTGAAGCACTTTGAGAGATCCTTGCGACGTGAAACATCATATTAAACTTATCAATTATGGTTCTCTTGTTGTGCCTCATTACCATTGTTGATAATCATGATTTAAAAAATAAAATAAAAATGGTTTTAAATCTTTGCGTTTATTCTCTTTTAGCTTCTCAACACAAAATGTCTCACAGTATCCTAAAGAGTTTAAATCGAGTTGAACTCGGTGGATACAACTACTGGCCCCTCTTCTCCCACATTGGAATCCGCCTGTATAACTACGAAGAGATCCCAACGTTTTTAAAGGGGAATCCATACATTACTGATGGCTACAGAGCGTACTTACCATCAAGTTTGTGCATCAGAAGGTATGTTTGTGTGGATTAATGTTCAGTGAATCTCCCAATAACTCACCCAAGGGAAAAAGCTCAAATGACTACTTATCAGAGTTGACTAGTTATTTTAAAGTACAATATCTTGGAAAAGAATATCTTGCAGGAAAGAAGTTTTTAAATTTCTTTTAAGTATTTTTTAATTCAAAATGCTCGCATAAGTCTAAAATATTTTCAGTAGCTCATATATGAATGCATGAAACTAAATGGTATGCTTTAACTGCATTGTTGCACAAACTGCAAGCAAGCTGATAAAACACTCATGATCTCATTGAATGGTGGAACAGTCTTGAGAAGCTGAATGGTCCTCTCCCATTCCTATGGTCCTGTGTAATGACTTTCCCACCCCCACAAAAAAAAATGGGTTGCTCAATCCACGACTGTTTGTGGGACACTGCTGCACGCAATTGGCTGCCGCTCTCACCCAAAAAATGCGGTCAATATATTCTGTGAAGTGCTTTGAGACTTCTCAACGATGTGATAAGGCGCTGTATCAAATGCAAGGATTGTTGTTATTACGCAGTTCCAGTGCGCCATTTAACAATGCATTGTGCTGTGCATCCACTTACATTGTGTTCTCTGTTACAAATAGCCTTTTTGTTTTGTCCAACGAGAGTGTGAATATATGGAGCCACTTGCTGGGGTTTTTCCTGTTCTTCCTCATTGGGCTGCATGACACCTGCTTCCTATTGCCATCGTCCAACAGCACCAGGGATGACTATATCATTTTCATCATCTTTGGGTTTTGCTTCCAGGTAAGCCGAGAGCAAATACAGGGACATAGAATAAATGGAGCGTTACAGCATGGAAATAGACCTTTCACCTCAACTCGTTCATGTCACATGAACTTCCTAAGCTCCGCTCTCATTACACCTTAGGTTTGCATATTTTTGCCTACAAAATACACAGTCACGGACACTTTACTGGATATATTATGCAACGCTTTGAGACATCCTCCCGACGTGAAAGGCATTAGTTCAAACGTAAAGATTATTGCAGTGGGAAAGGAAGAGGAATGGTAAAGAGGAAAAATATAAATGTCTATAAAGAGAATGGGACTAAACGGAGAGCTCTTTCAAAGAGCCAGCACATCCATGACAGACCGCATTCTGTGCTGTCGATTTGTATGTTTCTAAGGGGCTCGGAGATGAGAAGACTTCACATTGACTCCACCAGACACTGTGTGCGCAGTCTTTGCAGCAGTGACGCTAGCTTTCAAAACTACTATTTGTATTTTACTGTGGCAGTCACTGTCCTAATGTGACATTCGCGGAATTATTTGCTGGAATTAACTGCTGAATGGCTAAGCCATTTGTGGTCAAACCAGCCAGCTGTTGGAACAAAAGTTCATCCTGTGGCTTCTCTGTAATCGATTTTGTCCTTTTTTTCTTGGAAATTGTCCTTTGCGGAACTTGATGGCTATAACCAGGTGTGAAGTCCATCGGCCAAGGCCCCTCGATTATCCACCACCGTAGGCAAAGGAAATAATCCACAGGCCACTGTTCAAAGTGGCCGTTTCTTAATTTCTTATGCCTTGCCTTCCTCATGTTTGTCCCATTGGGTTGGTTATCCATAAGAGATGTAATAGTTTTGAAGAGGTGACGGCTAAATTTAGACAGGTATTTTTTTTAGCACCTCGATTGTCTACCAATTTATTATTTGTCATCAGAGGGTGAACTTTCAGCCAATGTGGTCCCACTCTCTGGAACTCAATCCTAGAGTCCCTCCAAATCACTGTCTCCCTCACCTCGTTCAAGGACCTTCTCAAGATCTACTTCTTTGACTGGGTTGTCCTCCCGTTGTGAAAGGTGCTGTGTAAATATAAATTTGTATTGCGATGTGGGGAGTCACCTCTATTCATAGTAATCATAGAATCAGAATCATACAGCACAGAAGGAGGCCATTTGACCCGTCGTGTCTGAAAAGAGCTACCAACTAGTCCCACTCCCCTGCTCTTCCCCCGTAGCCCTGCAATTTGGTTCCTTTTTATAGAATCACAGAATCTTACAGCGCAGAAGGAGCACAGCTAATGATTTAGACAATTTTATATATTTTGAAATTTGACAAGCCTGTGTTAATGATTATCTCGCGGCCTTTCACTGGATACTGTGTGTGTGCACTGTAGCTATTTTCACCAGTTTGGTTTTGTCCACAGTTCTGCATGCTGTGCTCAGCGGGCTACCATCTTTTCTGTTGCCACCACTCTGAGAAAACCAGCCAGCAGTGGCTCGCTCTCGACTATGCTGGCGTCTCGGTGGGAATGCTGGGCTGCTACGTTCCAGGAGTCTTTTATGCTTTTTACTGTGCTGAGGTGAGCAGCGTTTTCTTGTCATTGTTATTTTTAAAGTTTTAACTAGAAAGTTTTAACTAGAAAGATTTAACTATTTACAACTCTGACGATGAGTTAATTGGTGGCCAACGTGTGTGGCGTAAATTAAAAACAATTTGCTGACAGTCGCCACATTTTACTGTAAATCCTTTGAAGCGCCTTGAGACGTCTTCACCAACTTGTAAGGCGCTATGTCAAATGCAAGGATTATTGTTATAAATTTCAGTAGTGGAGGGGCGAAAAATTGTATTTACTGCTGTTCTTCTATAGTAAGCAAATGGGAAATCCGAACATAAATAATTCAGCACTTAGCTTTTCTGGAACAGAAGTATCCCATTGAAGCGCTTAATGTCCTATTGAACCGAGTCCCCAGTGTCTCCTGCATACATTGTGCAGTGTTATTTTGTTGTGTGTTTTGTTTCCTTGACAGCAGTATTGGAGACAAGTGTACCTTGTAACCGTGTTGGCCATGATTTTTGTGATGTTCCTCACACAAATCCATCCGCAGTACGCCTCCCAACATTGTCACAAGCTACGCATCCTGCTCTTCTGTTTCATTGCCGCTTATGGATTGATCCCTACTGTTCACTGGATATTCCAGAACGGAGGCATTGGGGAGCCAGTTGTTAAGGTAGGATGATTTTTAGGCACTTCACATTTCCGTGATTCTTTTGCTGAAATCTGATATAGGTGTGTACTCCCGTAAAGGCAGTAGGACAAGAGGACACAGGTTTAGAGCTACAAAGGACAATTTCAGGACTGACACCAGGAAGGTTTTCTTTACCCAGGTAAACGACTGGAACAGGTTGTCAGGAAGGGTGGTTGATGCCAGGACCCTGGACCCATTTATAAAACAACTTGATACTGTAGTGTGAAGGTGGTTGGGTGAATATGCTGGAAGGAAGAGATCAAATGGGATGAAGGTCCTTTTTCATTCCTAACAATCTTGTGATCTCTGTTATTCCTGATTATGTATTGGGATTTCCCTGATTAATGTGTGATACAGCGCCTTGGGATGTCTCCTGACATGAAAGGCGCTATACAAATGTAATTTTGTTGTTGTTGACGCAGAGTTCTGGAGACCCAGATGATCTAGATTTGGTCCATGGTCTATATTGGGTGAATGAAGTGCAAAAAAGAGTTCTGCAGGTGGCATCAGCCCCACCGAGTAGGTGGCAGGGAGACACTGGAGATGAATATGGTCCTGTCCTTTCCCAGTCCTCCCACGCATGCGTTTTTCAACAGGGGTCACTAAACAAGTGTCAGTTAAGTGTCTGCCAAGCTGAATTGGTTGCTCTCTGGCCCAGAAAGCTGAGGTGCAAGCCCCACGTTGTAGCTTCCAGTCTACACTGTGTTTCTAGTGCAGTGCTGGAAGAGCGTTGCATTGTTGGAGGTGCTGTGGTTTGCCCGAGACGTTACGTTAAACCGATGCCCTGTCTGCCTGTTCAGGTGGACGTCAAAGATAGGTGGCTCTTTTCAAAAACAAAAGGCAGTAAATGGCTGTAAATCTCCCAGTGTCCTGGCCACTAATCCACCAAATAAAATTCACTACTTCGCTGTTTGTGGAACATTGCTGTGAGCAATTGACTGTGCATTTGCCTACAAATAAGCTCTCATTTTACAGTGAATTCCTGTGAAGCCCTTGGAGACTTTTCCAGCACTTTATCTAACGCAAGCGTCAAGTATTATCATTAAATTAGAGAATCCCGACCTCTCTTTGTCTTCTCACTGAGTGGAATGAAACCATTATCAGTTCTGCAAGTTAATTACTGGCACTCTGCCAGAAAATAGCAGGCCAGACAAATTGGAACTGCTGATGATTTTACAAACGTTGCAAAATATTTCATTTTTAAAATAAATGAATACTTTTTTTAATTTAATTTGAACGGAACGTTTTGATTTTGAACTTGTGTTAAAGAGGTGTAAAAATATCCTCAATTGGACAAATAGGATGTTTTTTTTTCAGCCAAAGATCATAGTCGGAACTTTCTTAATATAAGTAGGAGGATGTCCCAACGCCTTGGGATGTCCTCCCGACGTGAAAGGCGCTATACAAATGTAATTTTGTATTGTATTACTCACCTGTAGAAGATTTGTTACGCCATTTACTAGATCTGACACAGTCAGACTCCATTATACTGCGGTAGTTTCGATCCAGAAAATCACACTGCGTTGTAACAGGCTGTGCATAGGTCCCCACGGAGGAGAGCACTGACATCACTGATTGCCTTCTGCGTCTGACATTATACTCCAGAAGCTTGAAGTGTATGAGATTTTCAGTAAACTGCATGTCCATCATGTACCTGCGCTAGATACAGACCGTGTATATACATATTACAAAACAACAACAAATTATGTTAGTATAGTGCCTTTCACATCAAGAGGACATCCCAAAGCGCTGAAATGATGGGATCTAACTGTATTTTTGGGGGTCAGCCTGGTGTTTGACACATGCGGAAACCCATCACCAATTATCAGGAGTCTCTAAACCAGACTGAATCCCACGTATGTGTGGTTTCCATTTGCCTAGTACTTAGAATGATTGGTCTTCCTGGGGAAACACAGCTACAAAACCAATAGCATTTGTATAGTGCCCTTTGTGCAGAACAGCAACTCGAAGAGTTGATCCACACTTAATCCGGGACACAGTTTCAGCCCGGATTGGCACAAGCAATATTTTTTTCATTTTGTTACACATAGACAAAAGCTGGAATGAGATTTTGATTGAGGTTTCCCAGTTAACTTCTCTGCGTTCCCATTGTGTGAAGTGCGACCTTGCTCTTTGCAATTCTTCAGGGCAGCATCTCACTTTGACTTTGACTTTTTGTTTTCGAAAGAAGTCAACTGGAACAATGTTATTTTAATAAAAGCAAGGTTTTGATAAGGCACAACATTTACATTCTGCGCACGTGACAGGAAACAGAGTGGAAGGAAGAATTGTGTGCATGTTGAGGGTTACCTTTTATTGCACATGGTTTACGGTCAAGGTCAATTGACCTTGAAATAAAACACTATGCACTGCTAGTGTGTGTGTGTGTGTGCGAGCCTGTTTCAGTTAGTTAACACAATTGGAACATAACGCACTGAAGTCCGGCTAACAATATGGGAACAAAAATTCTGTTGGAGGAATAGCACACAAAACCCTAGCAACGTTTAATAAAAGCGAAATGGATTTTGTGCTTTTGTGTTTCTCGATCCTCTCTCCCTGTTATATTAAACTGAACAGTTGATACTTTATCACAGAAAGACACAATATAGGTTGTTGGCAGAGCTCAAAGCATTCATTCAGTTAATGGCCTGGCTGAGTCAGAAAAGCCATCATGCGGAGAAAGCTTAACAAATCACCCTGTGATAGACTGCAAGCCACCTGCAGTCGGACTTTGGCATATCAGCTTTAGCATTTGGACCATGTGGCTAAATCCATCACATGTAGCGGAAAATATTCCCCCTCAAATCTTTCCATAAGAGGAAGGGGAGACAGCAAGATGGTCTCCTGGAGCAGATGTAAGGGATCTGCAACTGCCAACTCGACTCAAGGCGCAGAAAACCCTGGATACGTGTCCTCAGTCAAGGGATGAGTCTGGAGTGCGCTCTGCACAGCACACGTTCCTTTTAAACTCCCTGTTAGATCTACGACTGTACTGACTATCTTATATTTATGTCTGTCTGTGTGTGGTGCAAAATGGCTCCTGTGTTTGCCGACAAATACACCTGACAGCAACAAACCGTGAAGCGCCCTGAGACGTTTGGTATTGTTGACGTAAGAAACACGAGGAGGAGGAGGAGGATGATGGTGATGATTACCACCTGCAGTCTGGGTGGTGATCCGGCTTTCTTGTTCGGATAGTTGATAGTTTCTTTATTTCAATTCCAAGCCTCTTGTGTAAAATCGCAACAATGTTCCAGTCCTAGAATATCAACAGTGGGACAACCGTGGGAATCGTGTGGAAAAGGAAGAGGCGTCCCTGCTGATCTTCACCTCGTCCTTGTTAATACAGTTGGCAGAGTGTTGAACCAATGACCCATGTCTGCCTGTACGCCGTGCAGGGCTGTGGGAATGTGATTTGAATGAATTAGAGATAGTGCTGTGCAGAGTAAGTCAGGACACTGTGTGTGCAAATTGGCTGCTGCATTCCAGACGAACATTGGCTTGTGAGTGCGCAAAATGGTTAGCGTTTACAAAACTTCTTTTCACTTCAACACTTCTTAACTCTGTCAAGCCCAGGTTTGACTAATACTTCTCACAGAGCAAAGTCTGACCCTCCAATGCAGTCCTGGGTGTGTTTAGGAGGTATTGTAGGAGGTGCCGTCTTCCGGATGAAATGTTAAATCAAGGTCACGCTGCCTGTTGGTGTTAAAGATCCCATGGCACTATTCAAATAGAAAAGGGAATTTCTCCCGCTGAACTGGTCAACAATTCCCCAATTAAAACTGCTCATTAACTCCCATTTTGGGCGGGACATTGCTGTGTGCAAATTGGCTGCTGCATTCGCCCACAAAATATAGTCACCCCACTGTATAGTCTATCCTGTGAAGTGCTTTGAGATGTCTTGATAATGTGATAAGGGGCTATATCAAATGTAAGAATTTTTATTATTAAAGTAGGACTTAACTCCCAAATCTTGTGATCGAGAAGCAACTCTTGATCAATTGGTAGGTAGCGCTCTCGTCTCTGAGCTAGTAAGTTGCGGGTTCAAGCCCCATGAGCTCATAGTCGAGGCTGATTTCCCCAGTGCAGTGCAAGTGGAGTTCTGCATCCTCATTCTTTGGATGAAATGTTAAACCAAAGTCCAGTCTGCCTGTTCAGGTGGATATTAGAATATTCTGGCACTGTTCAAACAGAGAAGGGAGCTCCGCTCAGTGTGCTGGCCAGCAATTCTGTCAAATACAGTGACACGTGAATCTGCTGTGTTATAAACACTGCACGTCTGAAATTCATTCTTAATATAGAAGCTCTTATAAAAACAAACGTCTGAACTAAGACTGAATTTAAGAAGTTTCCACAATTCTGCACAACCTTAAAATTTAATAGAAAATGGTCTCATAGGCTTAAGCCAGGTGGAATTCCCAACCTCACACCACAGTGGAGCAGCTTTGCTTCCAGATGGCAGCCTGTGGGTGTTTCTTGTTATGACGTCCAGTGTTGCCAACGGGAAGCCACAAGTCTCTGTTACAGTACTAATACTCTAGCACCTGTAAGAGCTTCATAACCAGTAAGTTAATGGGGCGTACTGTTAAAGTTGACCTTTGAAAAGCCAATATTTTCAATTTTGTTGAACTCTATCCATAGAGGGGAGTTTCTTCCAGTGTCCAGGTCAACAATTCCTCCTCCCCCAAATAAAACTGGTCATTCACTTCATGGCTGTGGGACATTGCTGTCCAGATTCGCTGCCGCATTTGCCTACAAAATACACATTAATTTCGCCTTCCAGTAAATCCTGTGAAGCGCTTTGAGACATCCTCCTGATGTGAAAAGCGCTGTACCAAATGTAAGGGTTATTATTATCGTTCTGTGCTTTTTCACCAAACGTTCTGAAACATTCTTTTTCTTTGCTCCTAGGTATTTGCTCCTAGAGTAGGTGTTATGTATCTACTAGCAAGTTTGGCATTTTTGTTTTATTACAGCAAAGTACCTGAAAGATACTTTCCTGGTAAGTCTCCACCACTTGTTACAATTCCTTGAGTTAGTGAGGCGTTGTATATGCAATGCAAATGGCCTTTTTTTTTAAGCAACACAAAGCAGTTTTTCAGTGACGGCTCACAGATCAAAATGTAGCTGAACTGCATTCAACCGTTGCTTTAAAAAAAGCAGTCAAAGTAGTGAAGTTTATGACAAGTAACTTTCCATTATAGGCCCTTGTTAACCTTGCTATTGCGCATAATCTCTTAACTTTAGACTGGGGGGGGAGGAGTGGAGAGGAAAGTGCAAGATTGTGTTTAAAATTGAACACGTGAAGATGGCCAACGATTCCAGGGCTCCTTTGTATTCTAAAATTAACTCTTGTTTTCCAGGTGGATACTTGAATTACTTTGGCTGCAGCCACCAGTGGTGGCATTTCCTGGTCGTTTTAATGTTCTACTGGTGGCACCAGACTGCAGTTCATATCATGCATTATAGACACGAGCAACCATGCCTAAAAATAACTAAGTAAGTAAATTACACATTTTCCAGCATTTCTACAAGAAGGATTGTTTGACAGTTAAGAACGAGGTGCTGTTATTAAAGACGAGGAAGCCAAGAGGTAGAATGATTTGCGGAGAAAGGGAAAAAAGTCAGTTTATAACAGTAATTCTTCAGTTCAACAACTCTTCTTGTGAATGTATGACTGCCTTCTAATTTACCTAAGATTGAATGTGTCTTGATCACGTTACTGCAAAGATTGGAGGTTGTACCTTAGTACCGACCAGTACTGTAATATCTGCTCAGCTGATGCCTCAGACTTAAAGTTGCATGAAGAAACCTTCCTGATGAGCCAAATTGTTGGCTGCCTACTTTTCTAACACTTGGACTGTGCCAGTAACTAATAAAGCATCACAAACTTGAGGTGCATTATTTTCAGGCAGCTGCAATAAATGCCTTTTAATAGAGAAGTAAGAGCATGTATTTGTAAATGTCTCAAATGTATTTATTGAACTGTCTTTCTTCATAAATAATAATTGCCTGCCTTTGTCATAGTCCTAATTTTGTAGAAATGGTTTAATATGTACTGTACCGTATGAGCTGTAAATCTAATATGACTATAGAACAGTAAAACAGTTCTGCATGCACAGTAAAAAAATATTTTAACTGTTTACAAGGCCCAGTCAGTATCCTGCCGACCACCTTCTTTCTCCCCACCCCCAAGTTGTTGTGATTTTCCTTCTATAATATGGTGATGATGGGTTCAATGACCACTAAATGCTTTTGCTTAATTTGTGAAGTAACCAATGAATTGATTAGAAAAGTTGCACTACAGATTTACAATAACCACTTCCGCTGTCCATAATTTTGACCATGGTATTGTAAAGTGACTTGATACATTTTCGTTTAAAACTTGAATGTCTAGATGCAGATTTCAGGGAGGGGAGGAGAAGGTGATTCTTTTCTAAAACTGGAAGAAGTTGATGTTAATTGTTGGACATTTCTTTTCTCTCTGATGCTGTTTGCACAGGCTTTGCAAACATTTGCGTTGCCTTGGACCATTTTGCTGGTAAGTGTAAGCAACAAAAGCTGTAGGATATGCAAAACTTTCAAATAGTCTTATGTTGCCTTTAACATAAAGTGTAAAATGAACCAGGAGCTTCCAATGTTGTGATTCCATTATTGCAAACTCCTTGTCTAAGTTTCACCTTAATGCAAGTTTTGCCACCTTTTGAACATGAGGAAGCAGCTGATAAGACTTTTTAATGGGAGCGGCTGCCATAAAATAGGGATCACTTATAAACATGGTTTGACAGTTTTAAGGTAAACCACCTTCTGGCATTCACTTAATGTGGGCAAATGCAGTACGATGAGAGATGGAAAAGGAGAATAGATATTGCGGTTGTAAACTAAAGAAACACAGGACGGGATTGGAGAGGACGTTACTATCGGTAAATCACTGCAACAATCAGAAAGAACAGAGCGTGGTAACACTAAGGACAGCAAACAAGATCTTGAGATGTAAAGCTGAAGGCAAATGAGTTATCACTGAACTTGTACACTTACTAGACTGGCTGCAACAGGGAGCACTCTACTCTGAGCACTCTATTTCCTGTAGGGACTTTTTTTGCGCTTAAAGGGCAACTAAATTGGAATTCGGTATTAGAATTATGAGACTGTACAGAAACCGGGAATGTTCATACTGAAGAAGAGACAGGTTAGGAAGATCTTATTAAAGTACTCAAGAAGAATCCTAATATACTTAGCAGAGTCATAAACATCACAACATGGAGGAACAGACAGTTCAGATTTTATTACTTTGCACAGCGAGCATGTGGAATGGACCAGCCATTGGTTAGCTATTCAAGAAGGGATTGGATAGTTATTTGGCAAAGAAAGCAGCTGAGATGGTAGTGCAGGATATGTTTAAAGCTTGAGACATGCCAAATAAGCATCAATAGACACTTCTGGTCCTGTACATCTTATAGTTCCACACACTCTTGCAATATGTTATAGTTCCATTTATTGCAAGAGTTTGTGCAACAGATTGAAGCCCTAAAGAATGCAATTTTTCAAATTTATCAGCTTTCTTAACCTGGAATGATATTTGCATAAATGTAAACCATTTTTTATAGTCTAACCATTTACCAGTGTATATGTTAGCTTAAGTAACGTCTTAAAACAAAGAGTAAACCGAGTCCACCCCACAAAAATTAACCCCATTTACCAAAGATGGTTTGATCTTTCTCAGCTATATATATTAATATGTTGAGTTATACCATATTTAATGATTGTCCAGACAAATGAACATTTAAAAAAAGCCATCATTTCATGGTTGCTATACTGCACAATTTAAATAATAACAGTATTGAGAAGACCAAACAATGCACAAATTAAAGCTTGGTCTAATTTCTAGTATTTAAAACAGATTAAGGAACTCATTCCAAGTGCTCCTCAAATGAGACGGTGGGATCATGCTGTTTCAATTGTGTTGTAAGATTAATTCAATCCAGAGATTTATTGGTTACCATAAAAATACTTGATCTATTTTGCTTGATCTATTGGAGCATACGGTTAACATTTCAACAGCAGTGCCCCTCTTAGATGGCTTTCAGGCCATAAGCAGGTTGCACATGTCCCTTCTAGATAACGCACCTCCCTTCAGGGCTTTCCTCCTTAAATAAAATTTGTGTGCAGTGCTGAAATTCACTTTTCTCTCTCCTACCCACCGGCCTCTCTTGCAGCTTCTTTCAAAGAAGGATCTTTGAAATTCCGGACATTTTCTACTCCAAGACTGAAATTTGAAAATTGATAAAGGCTTTTAATTCTGATTCATTATTTTTCATTTAGTTGAGTGTGTTGCTGCAATGTTCCAAGTGCCAAATGTTTCAGACTTTGTTTTTGGTTCACTGTACAACACAGTAATTGCCCATTCCTTTCTACTGTGTTGAAGGGATAAAAGCAGTCGGTATTTTTGTTTCCAACGGTTGAACATTTGGTAGACGAAGTACTGAATTAAGCGACTGCTTATTACGCAAAGCAACTTAAATAGTATCTGGGGTTTTATTTACTCTTTAATGCAATTCTTTTTATCAGGTCTTTTGATATGCATCAAGTACGTTTTGAAAATGTTTACAAAACTGAATGTTGCATCTAAAGTAATAAAGATTTTTCATGCAGTTTGTTTCTTTGTACCTTATACTAATATTGAATTATTTAGTCGTGTTTGCTTGTTGGTGTTTATTTACGACTTGGAATAACCAATTTCAGAACATTTGTAGTACACAGACAGTCAATAGCCATTTGCTTAAATAATGCAGCATGGCCAAAACAATTTCATAATATCAGAGTTGCATTTCACAGGAATGGTTAGTCCTATCCTGGATATCACAGTGATTTGTAGTTTATCATATTTACGTCATTCCTTACCTACTGAAATATTTGTAACAGTAAATAGAGCCACATGAAGAAACAATCCTCTTGATTTACAGGGTAAGAACGGTGATTGCTTTACATGTGTTGCACGATAGATTGTCTAAAGACCAGTCTCTGCTACACTGATGAGCTCCTCCCAACTTTTTGCCTCGTAGTTTAGAGCAGCTTGAGCATTCTTTGCAGAACTCAACAGTGATGGTGCAATGGCAGAGCATTGTAAAACTGCAGTCATACCAATGTAGCGCTGCATAGTGGATTATTGAATACCAGTGCATAGATCTTTTTAAACTTTCTAAATCGGTCATTGCAAGCAAAGATTTTGTTTTATTCATAGTTTTTATGATTGCATGATTTCTGTGATACTTGTTGAACTAATGTGAGACTTTCACATAGTTCGAGAATTAGTCCGTCAGTCTTTGGTAAAGAATTGTATTTGCATTGCACTTCAGACTTCAAGTCGGCAGTTGGCCAGATGAAGTATAAAATAGAAGGGTTAACTGAAAGAAACTGCTCAGAGGATAATTGAGAAATTGCGATCACTCACATGATATAGATTAATTAAAGCCTGCCCTTAATCCTGGGCAGATTTATTAGGTTCAGAGAAATAAACAAAACTCAGGAAGTGTTGGTTGAGTGTAAAGAGAAATAGTCTCTTACCCAAAGAATACATTCCTCAAAATGACAAATGAGTAACTAATAATTCCTTCAGTTTTATGACGTTCTTCATTGAGTTTGTTGGAAAGTGAGCTACAGATCTCATTAACCTGGCCATTAAGAAAAAAAAATCTGAAGTAGGAACATCATGTTCCTTGAATATTGTGTCCCCACTGAATGTAATTCTTGTTGAGTAAGATGGGAGACCAATCCTGTCACTGAGTTGCATCTTCTTGCTTTAAAACACAACCACAAATTTCTTCAGTGCGGTTGTTCCATACACTGAACCACTATATGGATTACTGAAGCTATAAAGTGATATTTATATCTGCAGTTTCAGCAACACTGACATTTCATCAATGTCTTGATTCCTGAATCCATTGATATGTCTGTAAATGGTGCAAACTGGAGCCCATCCCTTGGGATTCAAGTTGTAAATCATGCTGCTGTTCAGTTTTCCACAGGCAAAGGTTAAAACCTTTTCTGCTCTGCCAATGTTCATCAAATCTGAAAGCCCAAACAGTAAGTAATGATATTATTTGCTCTCCGTTGAACCACTTGTTGGAAAAACCTTTCCCCAGCCCTTCATAGGGAAAGGTGCAGCAGAAAATGGATCCTCGTTGTTTATGTGCAGGACAGAGTCTTGACCCAGAACAACTTGTGGTTCAGTGAGTCCATCAGATTCGAGTTTTCCCATATTATTAGGGCTGGTACTTTGGCTAAAAGGGTTTAATATTGAAGGTACTTTCATAATAGAATTATATTTTTCATACTTTGCAGACCTAATGTCCTCTGAAATATCCCCAAGGCATCCTGCGATTAAAGCAGTGTCAGAGTGCACCTCTTGCTCCTTATTTAGCCTGACGTTTTTGGTGATTTTGCATTTAAGGCCGTCCACAGGTGATTGCACATGTTGCTCAGTGTTAGTTGTACTTCCACTCATTAGCTCTAAGTGGCACACATCTGCAAAGTCCCTTCCAATCTCAGCAGAAACTGTCTGAAAAGGAACGTGACCAAATAAATCTGTGTTTGCGGGTTCCACTGATGTCATTTCTTTGGTGTGAGGGTCTGGCAGGTATACCATGCTTGCAAATGGCGCATTCTTGAAGATGCAAAATTCATCTTGGTCATTTTTAAGATTCACTTTAGGTTTGAACGAAGCTTCTTGAATTTTTTCCAGCTTGCTGTGGTCATTCACACCACCCGTCTCTTTACACACATCAGATTGAAACAGTGAAAGATCCGTTTCCAAATGAGCCACAGAGGTTTCCTGGCAGACTTCAGTGTTTTGGACACTGGGAGTAGAATCAGATGATCTAATTTGGCAAGGTTCCTCTGGGTCAGTTTCTTTCGAAAAATCTTGGTTGAGATGTTCTCCTTCACTCTCGTTTTGATTGTCTTGGTCTATTTCATAATCTTCATCCAAATCATCGAGGAGAGGTTTGGAGCTGTTATAGTCCTCCAATTTGATGGTGTCTTCATCTGTTTTACACTCATCCTCATCGCTGCTGAACAAAGTCCCTGCAGAGGGGATTACAAGATCACTTGAACGTTCCTCAATTGTGTGGACAAGCAACATCCTACAAAATGCACACATACTTCTCCACAATCAACTGTTTAATTCCATCCTTTGATGTATATCCCACAAAACCAGGCAGTCGTACCTTGATGTAGAAACTTCCCTGATACTAAACTTTCAAAGCCAAACCAAAGGAATGTTAAACTTGAAAGAACCACAACACAACTTTGTTGTAAATAAAAGAAACCTTTTAAGGTATCTTTCACTAATAATTTTGGCATAAATTATCTATGTTATTCAATGACTGCAACGGACCTTCCAATTAATAATTGTGACAGTGGAGTTGCATTCATCCTATTTGCCAATGAAATCAAAACAAGTGGTATTGCTAGGACTAGAGAATGGCATTTTGCCTACAAACCTGTCAGTGAGGTTTTTTAGGAAAACAGTTGATTGCAATGCCCTTTAACGAACATAAGGATTGCTTTTATAAGACTCTTCGACAGCCAGGTCACTGTATGGAAGCAGGACGGAACCAAAACACTTAACAGATAACAGCAATGAGGATGAGGATAAAACAGATAAAGACCATCAAGTTGGAACAGTACAACAGCAATTATAAAGGAGAAAGCAGGGGTGTGATGGAAATATTACATCAGCTTAGACTAGAAATTAATATAAGGCAGGAATGATAATATCCTGCGTTGTCAGCCCTTTGGCTTTAAATCTCTGCCTCATTTTAAAAGTAATTATTCTTGCTAAAAAGATGAGCAATTCATGATTCTGCACAGATGGTTATTAGAAATGCAAAATAATATTATAATATAAAGAAAAATTTGGTGTAAATTTCTGGCAGTGTAGTATTCCTTGGCATCACTGACAAACCATGGCAAGATTTAGAGAAATAATACTATTCCAAATGTTTGTGTCCAGGTAGGCTTTTGATTTATGATTCAATTCTAGTAATTTCCAAGAATCCTCATTGTCAGAAGGAAAGTATAAACAAAAAGCAGGACAGGAACTTGGATTGGAAGCATGATTTTTTTAAAAAAGTGCCAATTTGTTTTAACGTATTTTTCTAACTGATCTATTGTGAAAGTGAGGCTTGTGGGTGGTTGGGTTGCAAATCTGACACTTACAAATCTCTGGCAGTTGTGGAGATCTTAGTGAACATCTCATATTGAAGAAAGCCAAATAAAATTTCTCTTTAAAAACTTAATTTCTAGCCTGTCTGAAACTCCTTGTGCAAAATAATTAATTCTGAAGCCTTCCCAAACATTTTTCGATGAGATTCGTACTTGAGGCTTATGTCACATTATGAAAAGCTATCAGAGCACCAGAGGCAGGAATGAAAATATATTAGGGGGTCCGTCTTTAAACAACTACATGTAATAAGAATTCAAGGGATAATTACACTTCCCAATGGAAACAAGGAAAATAGTGGGCAATTTAGCAATTATAGCAAAATAGAATTTATGAAAGAAGATTCATAATAAAAACAGATCTGGTTAGATTACAAGATCACATTAGATCGGATGAAGAAGGTCCTTCAGACCATTTGATCTCATCCTTTTAAGTCATAACCTCCCATCACAGCATCAAGCTATTTTAAAAGTTGCCAGGAAGGGTGACTGAGTCCAGCAATCAGCTTTAGCATTAATTACCCTCCAGGTAAATAATTCTGGTGTCTGATCTAAAATTGCCCTTTGCAATAATCCTTTTGTTGTATTGTCTTGGTGTTTCTAGAACAAAATTAATGGAAATATTGTGCAATCCTAGGGGATGTGATTTCTTTCTTCCCCTCCTCAAATGTTACATTCACAATCTTTCAAGTCTGCAGCAAGAACCCCTTCCCCAATTTTAAGGCTTTTACAAATAAGGCAAAGAATGCCAAACTCAACTTTGAAGGATACTTACAGGGTCCAGTGAAAACTGCTCAGACAAGACTGCAAACAATATTAAACAATGTTTTAAGACTCCTTTCAGGAAAGCAGCACCTGAAATGAACATCTCTGAGAAAGCCGAAACTTTTGGTTTCTCTCTCAGCAAAAGAGCTGCTAGCTGAAAGTAGCCACACTTTCAAATAAAGGTGATGGAAAGGGAGGTAAATCACAGTCATTTCAGTTGAAAAAAAATCATAGGGATCTTAGTCGACACCTTGTAAAGCTGGCACTCTACCCTGAGTGAGGGGCGCTATATAAATGCAAGTTGTTGTTGTTGTTCCATTCCTAGAGAAAAGTCAAGTTGGTAAAAGAGGCGCAGAGCCATCTTGGGTTGGGTTGTAATTCATTTTTGAAACATCATTTGACCACCTGATTTGTGAAATGGGGGTACAGAAAGGCAACATTTAAAATAGATGCATCAGATCACCACTGGTCATGTTCGGGTCACGCACGACTTATTGAACAACTCGTTGCACATAGGCTGGCAAAACATACGTTTGTGCTCACATTCCTTGGTCAGCATTGACTAACATGTTGAGCAGAAGACTGATTTTCTCATTGGGCTAATCTTCATAGGAAAGGTGGAACAGGAAGTGTGGCAACATAACTTTGGACTTTAAAGTCTGTAAACTGTGTGTCTATTTTGCCGTCCCTCTCCTAATCCAATTCATCTCTTTGGTGACAAGAATTTGCAATCAATCATATACAGTAAAATCCTGAATGCATGCATGCATACATGCATACATTATGCCTAACTTGCCACTCCAGATAACTCATCATTGTTGACTCTTCCCTCAGAGTGATGGGTTATCACCAGTTTACTGTATCATGATCCTGCATTCCCAAACTTCTTAGCATATCAAAAAATATCATAAATTTACATTCCGATTTGTACTTTCACAAAGTACAAAACGATCCATAAGTAGTGAATTAGTTTATCCCAAGAATAGCATTGTGTAGATTTGAAAATCAAATGAACCAGAAAAGCAATCTTTTAGTGTAAATGTGAAAATTATTTCAAATTTATTTACAGTATGTTTTAAATAATCACACATTTTAGTGATCCATTCGTTCCCGTTATTAAACTGGTATTTTTCACATTCATAATCAACCAGTGTATAAACAACGCAACATATTTTACTGCCTTTCATACACCAGAAACAGCTGCTTGACAAACAGGGAAGCAGGATATATCCTGAGATTTGAACACAATGAAAAAAAATAGTGCAAAGCTTTATATTCTAAAAACCTGGTCAAAATTCAGCATGTTATTAAATGTTCAACATTGCACATCGAGATTCCTAGTAACATTCCTCTCAGTAGACATGAAAAGATATCAGGAAATCCCATGATCTTTCCATCATTATCTTCAGCTTGTCTGAAGTTATTTACAACTTTAAGAAAGCCACAAATTTTATAACTTTTCTGTTCCTCAATTTTACATTTTAAAAAGACTAGCAAAGCTACCAAAGACACTACTGTAAAAGTTCATTAGCTGGGAATTTTAGGCATACTACTGTTTAAATATAGATTTCTATTTGGATTCTAGTTATAGCTACGTTGACTGATTCTTAAAAGGTAATTTATTTTAGCTGAAGCTCATTTACGGAAAACAACTTTAGAGAAAAATGCTACCATTTCTAAACCTACCACAATCTAAATGACGTGCCTGCCGAATGAAAATACATTTGATTATTTTGCACTGAATTGGGAACTTTGGGAACATAACTGAACTAAGTTAGAAACTGAACGCAGCAGAGTGATTTCTAAGAATCAAATGCAGGAAAACTAAAAGTAAACAATGCATTTGCAATATATACATTTTTAGAACTTTTAGAAAATGGACTTCATATTGCAAAGAAAACATTCATGGTACAGGATCGTACCTGCACACTTCACTGAGATATTACACTCACTGTTGCTCAGCCCTATTAGAAAAGGTAGCACTTCACTTTATTGTGGCTGTAAGTAAGTTTGAAAAACATGGTCTTCATATTGTTAGCAAATGGAAAGAAGGAAAAATAAAGGTTGAATTAAGTGAAATCATGGCCCCCTCCCTCATTACGTATTGAAGTTAAAAATAATTAGATTTTTTCTGAAAGAAAAAAATTGCTGAACATGGTTTACTTTTGTTTGCATGATAATAAAAGTAAATGCCTTCAAGTCACAACTGAATCACAAATTTCATGCAACTCATTTGCAAGCTCAAAGCAAATAATGCAGTCCACTCTAAGTGCAATGCAAAATGAGCTTGATGTCACTTTCACAGCAGTGTGCAGTGAAATATCATGCCATTAAACACATTAAGCCTAAATACCACTACAGCTTTGTGTGGTGGTATTCAGGCAATGTGAGCATTAAAACATTTCTTAGCAACACAAATACAAAAGGAAAAACAGGGTATGGGTATAGTATTTTCAAAACAGTTAATCACTCTGCAACCAAAAGATTATTTGCTTCTATGCATAGTTTTACCATACAATACTGAGCTCTATCCAGCCAAGATCTTGCAGGGAAGCATTTCAACACAAGACGGGAAGATAGGAAGAGGATTGATTTCAGCAGGTTTTAAAACTGGAGGGATGTTCAAAGCAGTTTTTCTTGTATATGTGCATTAGCAGCATACAGGCAGTTACAAGGCGAAGTAAAGCCTGGATAAAGACGTTCTCAAGCAAACTGGTTTTATTTTTAGTTGCACCTCCATTGCATCTGTTACAATCATGTCTTGGTAGGCGTGGCATTCAACTGAGGCATACTACTGATTTTGTCATGCTTTCTTTGTGAAGGGATTGCTATTGCAGGGTGCAGGTACTTAAATATGTGGGCATGGGTTAATGGGAGGTCATTAAAGATCTATCAGCTGATCCACAAGCAGAAAAGACATAGGAAGACTGTTTTCTGAACTCCCACCACGGTTCTTTGAATGACAACCTAGAAATGTAAAAAAAAATGACTTTACTAGGTTATTTTTTTATGCAAGACAGACAAATGGATTTTTGTGAATGCTCTCATATTTTTCCTAATTACAATCACACCACCATAGTGGGAATCATTATAATCCAAGATCTGTTAACAGTCAAAGACAGTTGTCAGAGGTGGTTCAAAAGGCAGAAAAAAAAGTAAAAGAAGCTGAACAGCGACACCTAAATGAGATAAAGAAAAAAACACAGAATGTCAAAAACTGGAGTGAAAGCAGCAAGAATGGGACAGAGAATGGTATAACTGCAATTAAGTTGAGCCAACACCATGGTAAAATATAGTGCAATGAGTCTGTAACGAGATGCAGTACTTTTCAGTCAATCCCACAACTACAAACAGTTACAAATCACAACAAGTATAGAAGGATACTATCTTTTCAAGCTTATGGAAAATGGCATAACTACATACAGTGATTATACCTCACAGAGATAAAGTAGTATAGCAATACATAAAGCAATTTTTCCAGCAAATCAAACAAACATCGATTCTTTTTTGTGTTTTTTCCATATTATCCGGCAATTCATTTTATTTCTTATGTTTATCAAATGCACCATTAACAACTAAACGCAATTCCTCCTCCTCTTACCAGTCCGATTAGAAGACACAACAGGGTTAAAAGGGTCAGTGTTGCCAGGTGAAGCAGCAGGAAGGAGTTTGGGATTTGAAATAGAATCATCCCCAGGAATGTTTTCTGAAAGGGTGCAAGAGGAATAGCAGAGGGAAGAGCGACGTGACTTAGAGAAAGGAGGTTGTAATAGCAAGATCATTCAGTGGAGCATTCAGAAGATTCTACTTTGTACAATTTGATATACCGTTCCAATTTCAGTTTAGAAAAAAACAAGATAATACAACCCATTGATTGGGACACCCACCATGTGCGGTAGGGAGATAAAGGAGAACGAATGCCCCACAAACTACCTGACAAAAAAAAACTACTTGTGATAAAACACCAATTTCAAGTTCACAGGAACACAATGTATTACATTTTTGAAAACCTGTATACAAAACTGCAAAAGAAAATCTCCAACACAAATTTTCTAGAGATAAATACAAACGGACAATGGAAGTAATAATAATAAATGGGCAAATAAAAACAATGGGAATTCAAAACTAATTTAAAATGTAACATTCTACGTATTGCAATGATGAAAGCTTCCCTTAAATTTTGCAACTGAAGTACGATCTGCTTTCCCAGCTGCAAGTCATAGATATCAGTGATTATTGTGGTCGTACAACAGTAGTATACAAAGATGCCCTTCAGTTAAGTATGATAAACAGGCTTACAGTATTTTATAGGGTATGATTACTGAACGGAATTGTTACTGTCTTTTGACAACTTCACATCACAAACTATTTAGCATATTCCTGACCATCTGCTATTCTACATTTTATAAAAGACTAAAATATATCCTTACCATTTCCAAAACAAACCAACATTTCAACTGTTTACCAGCAAGCAAGAAGTTTAAAATTAAGCAAAGTTTTAAATGGTTGACAAATTTATTCTTATTATATTATCACACTGAGACCCAAATTTGCAAGGCAATGGGAAAAGAGCGGGAGTGGGTCAAGTTAGATAGCTCTTTCAAAAAGCCAGCACAGGTACAATGGGCTGAATGGCCTCTTTTTGTACTGTAGGATTCTATGACCCATGTCTTATCCTCGATATATCTGAAAACATTCAGATAATGGTCTTTAAAAATAATAATGTTTGCATTATAGTTTGCATTATAGTTTGCATTATCACAATCAAACTACTATTTGATATATATTCTTGGTGCACACATTTCAAAGCTTGTTCATCTTGCCCAAACATTTGAAAATAAAATGTGGAATATTTATAGTTCTACTTAACTATTTATTGCCTACAAGATACACAGTAAATCCTATTAAGCACTTTGTGATGTTTTGACATTTTAGGTGCTTTATCAAACACAAGCATTATTTGCCAAAATAAATTTTGTCTACTAAGAGATTCCTCAAATTATCAAATCTGTAAATCTAGCGATTCATCCTAACCTGCAGCTTCAATTAGTGGGGGATGTATATAGATGAGAAATAGCACCTGGTGAACTGTTGTCAAGGATTGAAGCCTCCAAAATTATTTTAGCTACTTACAGCAGGAAGAATAGTTTTAAGAGAATAGTGGGAAGTGTATGAGACTAGAGTTGTTCAGTAGAGATGATTTCATGCATTCCAATTATCATAATCTTGCTGCATAATGATTTCTTTATTAAGAAAATAACATTGCATTGCAGAGGGGCAGAATGAGTATCAATACAGCTCCTTTATATTTTGTATCATAAGTTTATATTGTTCAAATAAGTAGTAAATTGCAACCTTTTTAAAATGATAATAAATGGTAAAGCATATGTAATTAAAATACGGATTCAACTTCAATGATATGCAATAAATGCCAAGATTAAAGGAAACCACTAGATAGTGATGGATGATACAAATCCTAATACAAACCTGTGCCAGATGCAAAGGCTGATGCCCCAAACATGTCAGTTTGTGATGGAGCTGTGCTGGGATGATAGCCTGGCAGGAGATTTTCATTTGACACTTTTTTCAATTCAGTAGTTTTATCTGTCAGGGCAGTTTTAATGGAAGGGATTAGTCATAGTTGTTCCAACATTTAGTTGATGTTTTAAAAATATGTGAAATGCAGTTTCTAAAGCTTGAAAGAAGGTACCAATCTTTACATAAAAAGGTGATAAGAATATCTTTATCGTATCATCTGTATGAATCTCTCTGTTGGTAACCTATGCTCACACCCAGTATTAAGAGGGAGGACATTATATCACATGGAACAATTTATGAAGAGCGAAAAGAACACACTGCCTTGATATTCTGGAAGGTACCCACCGTTCCGAAGCTCATCGAACTGTTTATCGAGAAGTTCCTCAGCAGTTAGTTTAGAAAAATTGTCATCACCGAAAGGATTCCATGAAGAGAGATCGGGAGGGTTGTAAATGTTTTGCTGTGAAGTTTTGGGAGAACCTACAGGACTTGTGGAAGCTGACCTAGGAAAGAATTACCCAAAAATTAAAGTACCACATTATGGAGTAACCTACCTATCAGACATGAATAAACATTTACCTACACGAGAGATAGTGAACTTTACTGAGTCATTTTGTTGTTGTTGTTCCCGTTATTCATTCTAGAAAGCAAAGTCGATTTCTTGTGGAAATACTCCAAAGCTTTTTCTTTTGAAAAGTTTATTCATGCTCAGTAGAAACCTGGTGGAACTTGTAGCAATTTCTAACCAAAAATGCTCAGCCCCTACTTTGTCTATAATTAACTCCTGGGAGTCTTTTTTTTGCTTGTGCATTTCGCCCACAAAATATAGTCAATTCATTTTACAGAATATTCTGTGAAGCTCTTTGAGATGTCTTGAAGACATGATAAGGTGTTATATGAAATGCAAATTATTATTATAAATGATTGCCACCTTAGAGCATGGACAACACTTCCAATGAAGCCTAACGTCACTAAAAAACACACAATCAATCCCTTAAGCCACTGGAATTAGCCTTAAACTTTGGGCATGTGTAAAACAGACTTGTCATCACTGACCTATAGAGTGCAAGTATACCTCAGCAATGAAAAATGATAATTCAGTCGGTACGTAATATTCATGAATTTGGCAAAACAGTGGTAACAGTAGTAATTCAATTCAAACAATGATCAACCAAACTGCTTTTACTCTGCTAAATGACTCCAAAACTTTTGTGGAATAAACATGATAAGAACTTATTTCTGAAATTGATCCCACAGCACAGCTGTATATGTGTGGTGTTATGATAAACTCACTTTGATTTATGAAGATTGGCTTCAGCAGCAGCTGCTGCCAGCTGTTGGGAGGAATGACTTGCTGGGACTCCAAACAGGCTGCTGAACGTGACATCGCTGAGGATTCTCCGATGACCAGCTCGTTGCACTTTTGGTGAAGATGGTGGGGTTAATGCCAGCAACTTTAATGTGTGTTGAGGTGGGGGCTGAACCTGCTGAGCCTTTTGGTGCATTTGTGCCTGTAACTAAACAGAAGTTAGCAATCATTTATTGGGAGTTATTCATTTATCAATTTGTGCAACTCTGATCAATCATACGAAAAAAAATAATTTTGAGAAGATTTGAATTCAATCGTTTAGTCCTCTGTATCAGGATGTTTTTATATCCATGTTTTTATAATGTAGACGGGCATTTATCCTTGGCACTTGCTCAATAGGAATTTTAATCTGTAGAGCATCATGTACAGTATAAGCTTGCTTGTCTGAGTCTAATCATTGTGTGGGTGTCACCAATCAGTACACTCATTATTGTGGCTGCATTGCATTCATCCTAAAAGGAGATTCACAAGAATGATCCCAGAACTAAGAGGCTATACCTATCAAGAAAAGCTGAACATGCTTGGACTCTTCTCTTGAAAAGAGGGTAAGGGGTGACTTGATAAAGGTCTTTAAAATGATGAAAGGTTTTGATAGGGTAGGCATGAGGAAGATGTTTCCACTTGTGGGGGAGACCAAAACCAGGGGTTTAATATAAAATAGTCACAAAGAGATCAAATAGGGAAGTTAGAAGAAATGTCTTCACACAGAGAGTAGTGGGAACATGGAACATGCTACCACAACGAGTTGTTGAGGCAAATAGCATAGATGCATTTAAGGGAAAGCTAGATAAGATACATGGGGGAGAAAGGAGTAGAAGAAGCTTTGAAGCCTGTTTCTGGGCTGTGTATTCTAATTTATTCTACCAGTCTCTACAGTCTAGACCTGCAATGGTAAGGTCCAATATATTAAAAGCAACCTCAAATTATAAACAAGAATCAGAGTTAAACCTGCACAAAAAATATACTTTAAAAAATATAGCACCAATAATAAACCAGAGAAATGCTGCTTCTCACCAGAGTATTGCCCATATTCACCTTATGGTTGTTTTAAGGATCCCTGCTTCACAAAAAGACTTCTCATAATCATTCAAAAGCAGCAACTAGCTTAACATTGCTGCTTTGAGATGTTCTAACATATGGTGGAATGATGCAAAAATGCAATTTCCTCTTCTAGTAATAAACATCAATGACTGCAAGTCAGAAGTCCATATTATTGGACACTAAGATCAGACTAAATCAGGAATTTTCTTTCAAGAAATTTTGATTTCTGATCTCAGAGGTTTGTGGTGATTTTCAAAGTAAGACAATGACTAATGCATTAGCTCTGATTCATGGTCTTTTCAACAACTGCAAGATTTCACCTGGAGAATGGTGAAAGCAATATATGTACAAGCACACAAGCCTGAGGGATTCATCTACAGCTAGAGCCTTTCTGGAGACGGCTTTTGGAGCAGGGCAGCATTCTACGATTCCACAGAATTCACAAGATAGGAAAGTGAATTGAGTAAAATGTCTTTCAGAGACTGATGAAAATTTGAAAGTCAGAACAAACTGGCTATAAAATGGCATTCATTAATTCTAATTCTATAAAATACCAAGCTTTATCCAGACTGGAAATGGAATGTATTTCAAATCAATGTTTAATACGAATTGCAAGCTAATACCATAATTAACGGTGGTATCAGCAAGCATATTTAGCTTGTGACTAAATATTGGGAAAGACAGGTAAAAGGGGCTGAAAGGATTCCTCTATAAGATGCCGAATGGTCTTCTTCTGTGCCGTAAATTTCCATGGTTCTATAACTTCAAAAGAGAAATAGGCAAATACAGTCAAACCTGTTTAAGCAACGATCTTCATTCAGCAATCACCCTCTGTTAAACCATCCAGGAACAGCCCATGCAAATGACAGCCCAGACAGATTACACCAATGAACCCACACTTAAAGGCCACCCTTATCTAAAAGGCCACTTTGGCACAGTCCTCTGATGTTGTTGAAGACAGGTTTAACTGTATTTGAGAAGGAAAAGTATAAGGTTATATGGAAAATGTAGGAGGGTAGAACTAAATGGACAGTCCTTTCAGAGACTCAGCTATAAGCAAAGTGGGCTGGGTGGTCTCCTGTGTCGTAGGATTCTTATTTTAAAGATTATTCTATGAATATTGCAGATGTAGAACAACTGCATTTGAGAGAAAAACTGGAGAAAAGTGGGCGAGAGGTAAACTAACTGAAATGATTTAAAAGATTAAAAATATTAAAACCTAAATACAACACAGGTAAAATTAAAACAGAGAGGCTAAACAACAGAGAAAGAGAATTGGGTCGGTGTAGGGTTGCAAATTCCTCAGCAAACAGCTTTGGATCTGTTGTAGATATATTTATAGCTTTACCACTGGGGGGAGCTATTATACACGTTATCAACAATCTTGAGTGTATGTAATGTTGAGCACAATTCATGTCAAGTACAATTAATGACACCACTTTTACACACAATGGTGTGTGGATAACACCTGAAATGAAGACAAATGCAAAGTACTGACTGAACCAATACTTGCAATGCCAAAATCACATTTAGTTATTTATATCTATATATATATGATAGATACGTATAATAATCCTTGCATTTGATATAGGGCCTTATCACATCTTCGAGATGCCTCAAAGCGCTTCACAGACTATACTGTAAAGTTAATTGACTGTATATTTTGTGGGTGAAATGCGGCAGCCAATTGTGCACAGCAGTGTCCCTCCCACAAACAGTTGTGGATTGAATGACCAAATTATTATTATTTATTTATTTGAAGGGATTATTACGCCTAGAAAAGCGATCTGCCAATCGACTAACAACCAGGTGCCTACTTACTGCTAGATGAACAGAGGTGCGTGGAATAAGGAAAGTTATCCACCGTTTCGCCTTGCCCAGGAATCAAACCCAGGTCCGCTCACGAGGCAATTGCTCTAACCACTAAGCTACAAGACTTGATTTTCCACGGAAACCAAAGATAAGAAATAACAAGATAAAGCTTAGTGAAAGGCTGAAGGGAAAAAACATTGTTAAAATGTGGACGCACAGGTAGCTTCTGTAGAATTTAAGAAATATCTACATCTCCCACATTTTATTTGCATGTAACCAGTGTACATTTTTGAGATAATGATCTTACCAGAGCACGTTGCTGCATAGCCACCTGCTGCTGAACAGAAGCGTGCTGTGCCATCATTTGCATCTGCTGCATGGCTGCTTGCTGCTGCATGGCATACTGTTGTTGAAGGTAGTAATTCTGCATCATGTGCTGCTGTGCCTGCTGCATCACATGGTAATGCTGTTTTACACAGATCATAATATCGATATAAATATTCTCGAGTTGCTTTAGCTTTAAGAAGTCATATTCCCAAGTACTAAAACTAAGCATAGAATTTATTTATTTTATCAATAATTAGGAGCAAATTTCTCTGGTTCCACTTCAAAGTCTAGATAACCTGTTTGAAAAGACATTCATCGGTACTGTATATTTTAAAGCTGGAATCATCAGTACTATACATTTTTTGGACTACCGCAATAAATGTTATTCATTTAAGAGTAATTATGAATTTACGTTTTACTTACAAATGTAAAGTAGCAGTACTTTTGAACTCAATAACTAAACTGCAGGTACAATGGATCAATGTGGAATACTGTTTCAAGGCGTGTGCCTTTAGATACCAGTTACTTTGAAAGCACCCAACGTTGTGCTTCTCAAAAAAAATGCATCCTCATTCAAAACACAACTTGGACTCATAAGAACAGTGTATTTGGAGAGGAGGTGGAAACAGAGAGGAACTACAAGTCCGCTTGGATTAAGGAATGCATGGTACTGTTGTACCTAACAGTGAAATGATCTGTTAACACTCACACTAGAATAAAGGGTGATAATAAATGGCTATTTCCACTTGCTAAAATGTATTGCAACATAAGTCCCTGATTTCAGAAGATGAGATAGAAAAAAAAAGAAAATGTTTAGAAGGCAGACAAAGCTATATAAACAGTCTGAGAGGCATCAGTGAAAACATGGAACACAATAAATGTTACATTAAATATTTTACTTGAAAAACAGTGTTATCTATCTAAAAGGATTCTGATAAAATAATTTGGAGAATCTTCAATGAAGAAAGGAAATATAAAAATGTCACAATGGAAAGGAAATCTGAGCAAGGATTAGTACAAAGGCATCTATACAGCACAACAGCACAAATCACACAAGACCTCAAATCTTGAAAGGAAGACCAACTATCCCCATTTAAACAAAGAGTATTTTATTTGTACGTAACAATTTAATGAACAAAAAAGGCAATGAATATTTGATGCAAATCACAGAAATGTACATTAGTGAATATGAGATTTAATGAATCTCCACTGAAGGGAGAAGTGAGAATAATAAGTGAGAACACTGCTGCTGGCAATGATGAGGAAGCTTAAGAGAGCACCAGCGCAAGATAATTTATAGTGCACGGTAGGAGAAAAGGGCACAAATATTGCAAGGTTTCCATGGGAATTATCCAATTATCCCCATTCAAGCAATGAACTTTATTTGTACATAGAATATTAACAAATGTGGAAGCCAGTGAAAATAGTGATGCAAATTACAACAATTTGCATTTAGCAGAATTTGCTTTGTATCATTTTAGGTCAGTGCACGTACAATTCAAAATAAGTACACTCTCAAATCAAAGCATTCATTTATTATTTGTGGTTAGAAAACCTAGTGATCTATTTAAAGTCACTGAAGTGTTAGGAAGGAAAAGAAAATTTGAAGAGCAAGCTCCAAATGGGTTATTTATAGCTAACCTTATGAAATTATAATGTATTAATAAATTTGCAGTGAATATCTGAGAGATGGACAAATTTCAATTTACACTGCACATACACTAGGTATATATGCAACCAGAAAGCAAACACAAAGCCCGTTTTTCAATGAAGTTGGAACATTACCTGTGCTGCCTGAAGCATTTGTTGCTGTTGGTAGTAAGCCTGTTGTTGGTGCTGCAGTAAATACTGCTGTTGAATTAGCTGCTGCTGCGCTTGTGGTGTTGGCTGTGCCTGAGCTGGTGCCTGCTGTCCATGAAATGGAGCAACTTGGCCACTACTTGCAGATGTAACTCCTGTGCAATCCAAGGATGAGACACAATCTAAAAGGTTCAATTCATTATTAACCAAATCGAATACAGTTCAATCAAAGTGCACAGTACTCAAAAGAACCAAACCCTTCTGCAAAACCTTCAACAGGTTAGCTATAGGTACCGAATATTCTCAGTCCATACAAGCTAACTGCTTACCAAACTTCATAGTATTATTGATCCTTCCCATCTCTCCTCATGCTCTGCAAGCATCACCGTCTGGTGCCTCACCCAACTGGCCATTTATCATACGAAGGTCTGGACAGGTGTTCTGTTTTTCACCAGATGTCCAAACACATTTTCCAGAAGATGTCAATGGATGGAGAGAAGAAGATACCTTTTCTGGCTAAATTTTCCTTTCCCTAGCCCAGTTGCGTCTATGGTTTCTCTGTACCATGATTTCAAGTTACTGAATATTTACTATGACTATGCAGCCTCAATGTGACTCAAGTGCCCAACTGAAAGTTCTTACCCTATCTCTCCAGTGAAGCTATTAAACTGCTTATTGATCCAATTTGGCTAATTATTAAATCCGCAGTCACACATTAGGCATGATTGGATCATTAATTTCTCATAAATAACAAAATCAGATTCATGATCACAGCCTATTGGAGATCCACTATTTTAGGTCTCAAAATACAATACCCTTGCTAAGATAATATCATTGGGTAGCTCCACAAAATCCAGCAGCAATTGAACTTTCCACAAGAATTGTTTGGATAAAGGCCCTTTGTCCCATTTCATTGCATCCTTCCAGAACTTTCTCTAATCTGCAAGAATAGACTGGGATGTTCAATATCAGGCAGAACTGTTAATTGTAGTCCAATCTACACTGCAAACAACTTAACCTCTTATGCTTGAGCGCTGTATTGTAGAATCACAGATGTATTCAGTCTGCAGTACTGTTTTCTACTCATGATTTGACTAAATCTATTATAATTGATACTAAAATGGATCATTCATTGCAATCCTATAGACAGCAGTCACCAGTAGATTTTATAGAGTTGCTTGCAACTTGACCCTAAAGAGTCATTTTAAGATAAGTATCCTGTAGAACATTTCAAATCTAATTTTGCCAATAAGACAGGAGAAAATTACCTTTAAACATTTAATTAGATTTGGGATATGGGAAAGTAAAGTATTCTGGCCAGACATTTAAGTGAAAAAAAATCTGGATACGAGTACAACAGATATGATGAGCCAAATGGTCTTAACATGTTGTAAAGTTCCAACTTTCTAAATATACCGCAAATATGAGGATTTTAATTAATTATGGTCAACTCATTATAAATTCAATCTTGCGCCTCATTTGCCCCGACACTGCACTTTCAGAATTCACTTAAATTCTTGGGTTAGTTTTGCTGAAAGTTAATTTCTGAAAGAATGCAATTTTGAAATATGCTTCCATTTACTTAATGGAATGCTTAACATACATTTCTTAGCAAACTGTTATGTTTCTATAGTAACAGCATTTAGCTAACATTTCTACTGAAAATATCTTCCAAGAAATTATAAGTAACCAGACAATAAGTAAAAGGAATGAGAATACAATCATCTATAAAACATTTTACTTGCACACTAATTATATGCAACATGCATTACAATGGCAGATAGTTCTCAGCATGCTCATTTTCAACATTTCAATCAGCTATTGAGTGCATATAATGTGACCAGAGACCTGCACATCCTATTCGGATGACCCAGTAAATCAATTGTTGCTCCAAAAATACTTTGCTGAAATTCGTCATCGGACTTGGATTTTTTTTAGGGGCAGGTGAGGGCCAAGAGAGGATGAATGAAGAGATATAACCCATAAGCAATTGACAATTTAAATCCAGCACTGACTCATCAGGTTCATAGAATTGTAGTCTTTGTCTACCAACCTGCTGTTTGAGACTCTAATTGTGTTGTAGGTCTCTTCCTTGGTGTGAGTGCTGGCTGAATAGTCAGAATACCCGGAGATGAATTTGCTTGACCAGCTTTAGGCCTTTGGCGAGGTGCTATTGAGGTCTCTGTAGTGGGTATTGGGTCTGTAAGCCTAAGAAAGATTTACCACAGCTGAATTTGCAGTACACATCAAGATAAATTCATGTATTAGTATTTCTGTTCATAAAATAAACCATATTAGATAATTAAAATCTCAAGAAGTTCAGCAATACAATGTAAAATGGTGATAACTTTACCTGGTTCTTTGTTGGGATTTTTTAGCAGCAACTTCACTAGCTTTTATTGGTACTGGCATTTTTGCTGGAATTAAAGCATTCTGTAAAACAAAAGTACATTTTAAACAAGGAAAGGACAGACTGACTCTTTAAATCAACCCATGGATAAATCAGAGAATTAAGATCTTAAAATTAGGTCAACAAGACCCAGACTGATTTCAGTTAATAAAAATGGAACAACAGGTTTACCACTCTTAAAATGGAAAGAGAAAAACTGCACAAGTTTAGAACTGGAAATTTTAATGTCTTCCTCCCTTCCCCAAATGAAACAGCACTTCATTTGCTTAATTTGTCTTTTTTGTGTAAATCCAACCTAGTTGACGTCACCAAACAAGACTTGTTTCATTTACTAGATTAAGTACTTACTCAGCTCAATAAAGGAGAGCTACAGATCATTTTTTTATATCAGATTGTGCAGAGGAAGGCCATACACACAGTAATATTTATCTAAGGGATAGTATTCCATAGAATGCCTGCCATCTGCCCACCCAACACAACCTTCTTTTCCTTCAAAGGAACACTATAATTAATTTGAAAAAGCATTCTAGCATTTGTATGTCTAAAGCCAACCTAATTCTAATTTTGAAAGGCATTTTAAATTTGGATTCACTGATGTAGTTTGTTTCAAGTCAGCCCAAAATACCAAATAATCTAGGAAACAAAAAAGTCTGTGAAAATTTCAGATTCCAGAAATGTTACAGTAAGCTTGCATATCAAAGAACTGATGCATTTTGAGACCTTCATGCTTTCGAATAGCTCTCTAAAGATTCAATGCATCTAATTTTTTCAACTAGAATCTCTGCTAGTCAGCTTTCACACACATGGGAAAAATCTCATGAACAGAATCACATATTACATTTTCTTATATGATTTGTGTGTGTATGACCTACATAGCTGACACACAACTTTATATTTTCAACACAGAGCTCACTGTAGGATGCATTTTGTTAAGTCTAGCACTGTCTGGAATGATTTTTGAACAGAGGACTATATGTAATTGGTGTCATTTTAGCATAGAAAATTACATTTTTATAGCCTTATCGTGCTGAAATATTTCAAAATACATCATGAGTTATTACTGAATAATCTCAATATACAATGAGATGTTTGCTTAGAATGTGAGCTCAATGTCCAACATGGGCCTTCAACCACAATCTTCAAATCCACTTGAAACTATTTTAGTTTGCAGTGAATAAAACTCAGCATGAAAAAAGTACTTACATTAATATTTTTGACTGGACATGCCTTCCCTGATAGCTTAAAAGCAAAGAAAGAAACCTGATAAATATCAGGTCTCTTGTCTGGGTCTGGCTCAAGCATGTACCCTGCAGTACAGAAGAGAAGGTGTAGTTGATATAGATGCAGAAATGTATCGCAAGTGGGAAAAAAAATATGAAAATGAAAAACAGATCATCACAAGAAGAATACTTACGTATCAAACAGTGCATTTCATTGGAGTACCGGGAATGGTCTGGGATGGTGAAACTTCCATCACAGATGGCCACTTGGCTTTCTCCAAATGGTAAAGTAAAGAAACATAGTTTGTAAAGTAAACACCCAAGAGCCTAAGAGAATTTAAAACAAAACAAGTTTCAAGGATCAGCTACTTGGCAACTTCTTTAATCAGTCAGGTCAGATAGTTCTGAGAAATCAAATGCAAGAGTAAATGTGAGATCATAGATATCTTTCCACTTGTGTTTTTGGAAACACATAAACATACCCAAATATCAGCTTTAGTGGTAATTGACTTTCCACTGTAGAGGTTAACCATTTCTGGTGCTCTGTACGACAGTGTTGTATATCTGCAAATCAGAAGATTAAGTTAGTTTGCTTGCAAGAACTACATTTTTGCTGCTGTCCGAACAGTAGGGTAGGCACCAAACTGTGGCATTTTAAAAACAAGGAAAAGTTACAGTCCTAATAGGGCAATAAAACAACTTCTATAAAAACAATGAATGAAATGCTAAAAGGTCTCGTTCCTAGCAGAGACATCAAAGAACTGGCAAATTATGATCCCACTGCCGCGAATCAGAACGTTCGTGTGTTCAGCCAGTGACAGTGAAATAAAGGTTGAGCTGTAGCTTGCCCTCAAATCAAAATGTTAAGTCTAATTTGAAAAGAAGAGAATCCCAGAAAATCAGTAGAGGACCAGAACAATCAGTTCTACACTTCCTAACCAATGGAGAGACGTAGTGCTCAAGGAACCCATCAAAGTAGGAGTACTGGAACCATTCCCTTTCTCCCCAGCTACAAGAATGGTCACCTCACCAAAAGGTAAAAAAGCAGTCCAGCAACTAGATGGAAGCCCCGCATTCCTCCTACCTAGTCCTCTTTTCATTGGAGCACAGTCACATTGAGTGAGTTACACTGGAGTAGGACCAGCATGGTTCTTCCTTTGTTGCAATTGCTTGTTCGTTTTCAAAAACATGGCAGCCATGAGGTTTCCTGATTGCAGTGTTCACAAACACTTAACCTCACCCGGGCTGGTTATTTCACACTGGTGAAGTCACTGACAACTGTGTCCCAGTGGAGCTAGTGTCCTTTCGAAAACATTCACCATTGCAAATGTATGAGTGTCCTGAATAGAATATGGTGAACAATCATATTGGGTGAATAACAGGATTAAAGTGAGAGAAATATTAGCCACAATGCAGCCCACTTAGCAGCATTAATAACTAGTTAGCTATTCGGCCCCCAAACAAACTATGAATCGTCAAACTTTTCCAGCAAAGGAGACCTTTTGGCCCAACATGCCTGTGCTGCTGCTAGTTCTGCTACAAGAGGCATCTATATAATCAAAATCCATTGTTTTTTTCTTATGAGGTTTTCTCATAATCTCAACATACGTTATAAATAAATATATGGTTATTTATCCAATCCACTTTTAAATGCAGTTATGGACTTGGCTTCAATAGCCATTTGTGGCAAAATATTCAATCTTCTAATTTCACTGAACAGGTATAGAATTTTTATCTTAGAAAAAAATACTTACTTTTTTATTTCCTCTTCTACTCCACTGATCCCTTCAACCTGAGGACATATAAATCGGTTTGTTGCACTTCCAAAATCACAGAGGATGTAATTTCCACTATCGTGAAGTAGAAGGTTCTCAACCTTGTAAAGAACAGAAAGTTAAAACACTGAATAGATAATGCTGAAATAATCAATTGGAAGGGAAACCTTTACCTTTCATAAAGTGATATCTTTGTACCTTAAGGTCTCTGTGAATAATTGGTGTTTTGCATTGATGTAGCCTTGCCACTGCTTCACAGGTATTACAGAATATTTGAAGCACTTCAGTTTCTGTAAACCCAGATTGTAATCGCTGGTTCATCAAGTTCACAACCTGACCACCTGTCACAACAGAAAGATTTAATTTATAAAACACACCCAATTCACATCATTGCCTGAAGCAAAATCAAGACAGGAAATAATAAGTTCTTTGAAGTTTCTCTTCCCCCCCCCAAAGACCACCACCACATTCTCCTCTCCGGAGGGGGCTGACTGAAGATGACACAGTTCTGGAACCTTGCACAAACTTGTTATTCTTCATGTGCAAGGCATTCGGGGAATGGGAAAGAAAGGGTAAACAGAAAGAGAAAAAAATCTGTTGTTCAAAGTGATTTACAGCCAGTAACCCATAATTATTTACTAGACTCCTGTTGTGCCTTCTGTTCTAATTGTTGACAAAGATATTCAAAGGAAGCAAACAAAAGAATTCAGAAACAAAATGTTATTCAGTAAGTCTCATGCTTGAATGTGGGTTAGTCAAATATATACTTATATGTCATATGAAGCATGACAATGCCCCCAAATAGAAATTGAATGGCAATGTATCATCAACAAACATTACACAAAAGCTTTGATTTACATAAGACCTCACCGGTGTAACCAAACCAGCCAGGGTGTGGCTAAGTTTAAGAAAATCTAATGGCTGCCTTGCTTTAAAAACAAACCTAGCAATTCTAGCAAAGGGACTGCATGTTCTATATTCAAGGTCTGAATTATGCAGCTGAGCAACTGCAGAACTATTGAAAATGGACACTTCACACAGTTTAAAAATGTAAGTATTCTCCTCCATTCTGCATCTTTTAAGATTAGATTTGTTTCTTGATCTAACATCTGCCCATAAGGAAGATATGTGCATTTCATAAGAAACTATATCCTAAAAAATATTGGTCAGATCAATAAATGCAATGACCCGATTTTCACTATAAATGAAATTTGTAACAAACCTCTGCAGTACTCCATCAGAATAAGGACCTCCCACACACCGCTAGCATTTGAGGTAACACTGGAGTCCAAGTAGTTGACAATATTTCTATTTCCTGACAAATCTTTCTGTAAAAAAGGTAGGATAGTATAAGCAAACTCATGAAGGTAAACATTTATTGAAACCCGTTCTGAACATTTTCCTCTGTCTGACCCGGAAAAAAGGTCAAGTAATGCAAAATTCATGTGTTATTTTCAAGCCCAAACTGAACGTGTATTTTCTTCCCAGAAATGAAGATCTTTCACAATTACCACACTATGTTGCAACAGTGCAGATTACAGCTCATAGGCTGTAATAAGTTGATCATGTCATAATATGAAAGAAAAATAGAAAGAACTTTTTTTAAATAGTATCTGTACACATCAAAATGTTTCAGAAGCATTACGGGCACAATAACTGTCAAGTGCAGAAACTATATGTAGACACAAAGGCATATGTGGCAGAAATGTACCACAAACAATCACAGTCATAGTTGCCCAGCACATTCCCTGCTCCTGTGGGATAGCATCTCGGATGCAATCTCAAAATGGTATTGCCTTGGGTTGGTATGAAGTACATCTTGTTACCTGTAGGATGCAATATTTATAAATCCTGTAAGAATAGTTTGCAACTGCTGCATTTGAGCTCAATCAATGCATATTGTCAAAGTCGCTAAATATATAAATAAATAGAAATAGAAATCAAAGTCGCGAGATCATTTCTTCCCCAGGTTTATTCTCTTTAATAATCAGGAAGTCGACAGCCAGGATTTCAGCTTTGAATTAAGTGAGCAATAACCAACTGCTGCCAGAAACAATTTAATCTTTCACTGTAAGCTGATTAAACACCCGAATACTGAATGCCCTAATACCCATTAACTTGTTAATACAGGTTTCCAAATTGTGTTGGCTATAAAATAATCTGTTTTATCAAAGTGGAGCCACATTTCTTTCTAAAAGCAACATACAGTACAATTAGATTTTTTTCAAACACGCAAAATGAATAACATGTTTCAGATGAAACCTTTGATCTAAAGTCAGGTATTCATTAGCCTGCTGGAAATTTCAGCTCTTTTTCCGTAATTGCATATTTCCAGCTTTTTCTTTTAACTTGTAATTTCAATTTGTCTATTTTAACAATCTTGTCCTGTGCAGGTCTATTCATCTACATTCTTTTAAAAAATACTTAACATTGCTACTAGGAAGTATACAGAAGGGCAAGAGATAACTGCAACAGCAAAGTTCAAGCAGTTTATTAATATCTTAACCCAAAAATGCATTACAACCCCCGCCCCCGCCTTGTGATACATACACAATTTATTTGTGGAGGGTTTTCAAGTCAGGCAGTGATCTTCCCTAATATGAGCAAACTGTAGTTACATTAAGTGATTTGAGAAGACATTTAATGTTACTGAGTGATACTTGGAAGCACATCTTAGAATTGTATCCTGGTATATTATATAAAGATACCTTTGTAATCTGGCAATATTGGGGTCTTAAATGTTTTAATTACCTTATTCAAATCACGGTAGAATTCAAAACAGAGGGGTATAAATGATAAAAGATTCATTACATTAATTCCTATATATTTTATTCAGCTTAATTTGGAAAATTTTGAAATGATCCAATCCTTAAAAGCGATCATTTTTAAATAAGTAGTTCAACTCGATATTTTATTCTGCTTTAATTTGGAGCATAATTAAAATATTTAACTCCAATTTTTAGGATTTTACTTAGCGTATTGCATGAACATAATATAAGAAATGGCACACTATTTGCAATCCACTACCCAGCTCAAGTTGATACTTGTAGGATATCCAGACTGATTTGTCAGATGATAAATCCCATTGTTTAAATTTTGGTCATCATACATCATCTGCTTATGAAATTCTTGCTGTGCAAGTAGAATAAATGACTCCTCTACTTGCAGGACAAGATGTATGACATATGGTGCAAGATTGCAACCAGACTACATGTGCCAGTTCCTTTTATTGTCATTCTTTTCCTCAAGTTGTGGCATACAAACCTCACTTCAAGACTAACTCATGTTGTTGACATCAGCCAAACTGTCTTGCTTACCTAATTTACATCTATTTAAATCCAGGGCAGCTGCTTTTAAACAAAAGAAAACAGAATGAAATGAATGGAGTTCTCATCATTCTTCAGAAAAGTTGACATATCGGGACCACATAAGGGAAAATCTGAGGGAAAGAGCACTCTGAGAACTGGCAAAGAGCATGAAACCCAAGGTTTGTGGTGTCTTTGACCAGTATGATAATTATAACATCACTTTTCACCTCCCAACTCTCTGTGCATGAAACCTCAAGCAGTTAACATTTCCTTTTTCGATTACCCAGATTTCTCGCTTTCCATTCCCTATATTAAGAACATACAAATTTGCTAGACTAAAGACCACCAAGATCCATCTAGTTCATGTGTGGAACTTCACTGGTAATACATTCTCCGTTACTTTATTAGTATAATGAAGTTTCCTTATCTCGCAACAATTTTCCACTTGTATACTTATGGTTTCACCTAATCAGCTCTGGTGGTCTCTTACACCTACCGAACCACCTCAGTTTAAACAAATATATAATGTTCCATTGTTCAAAATTCAAACTTCCTGTTTTTAATATATAAATAGCTGAAGCTTTCAACTGCTGTAGGTTTTCTATTATCCTAAACATCATTCACGAGAGCCAGATTTATTTCTACTTTCATTCTTGAGCTCCAAGCATAGCTGTTTAGAGATGCCCTCATTTCTGCAACATTAAAACCAACTGGTACAGGTTTGTTCCACTTTACAAACTAAACTGCATCTTCTTTGCCCAGTATTTGGGATGTCAGATAAGGTGTGTGATATTGAAAGCCAATAATTAGAATCCTGATCTCATTATGTTCCTGTGATTAAATTCAAAACTAATCAGCGGAAACACAATACTTCACAGTAATCAGCAACTTAGAATTAATTCTCTTGTGATTTATCACATGCAAATTGCCTCGGCATCTTCATGAACGAAATCATTAGTTCAAATTTCTATTTCAGTGCATTTGTCCAAATGTAACCACAAACAAAAATCTTAAGAAGTAGGTTATTACTGTGTCTCCATGGTGTTAATCACAATGAGTGATTAGCGGAATTTTGTACACTAGCTGTACCCGTTGCAGCTTCGCTTGCAACCAATGGATCCAATATGGAATGTAGATTGACACACAGACAAAAACACAGCAGACATTTCGTTTAGATATTATACTCAGCTGGACACTGTATATGGTATCAAGCGAAAGGCTACTATTTCACACCCACCAATTCCTATGTGAACATTATGTGAAAGAAATCCCTTAAGCAGGCATAGCCTCTATAAATGCAAGCTGTGTCTAACTAGCAGACATTATATCATGTGGTAGGCACAGTAGTCAACAATCAACCCTTCAAGTAGATAAATACTAACAATTCAAAGTTATGATTCTTGTTTTTAAGATTCTAAAGAGACTGATGATATAAACCATGACAAGCTATTTCAAATTGTCCAGAATCGTAGAACAAGAGGACATGGCCTACATTTGAGGGGAGGTAAATTCAAAACTAATCTGTGGAAACATTATTTCAGTAAGTTGCTGGCATATCTATGGAACAGGATCTTTGGAGACGATGGAAGCAGAACGTGTTGATTCTTTCAAACACTAATTTGATAAATTTCCTTCAAAAAATATCATGGGGTACAGTACATGAATAATTTGAGTCATGACATATGGCAAGTGATGTATGCTTGGGAGAAACGGGGAACTTTGGACCTATGGTTCCCAAAGCCTTCCACCACTGGTAAGTTTAACAAAGAGTCTGTTGTAGACCAGTCAATAGAGATCGATTGTCATGATTGGTCAGTATGTCTATTATTATTGTAGCATGCGACTATCAGGATAGTAGAAGACAAACTTGATGTACCTTGATCATTTTTCATCTAGCAATTTCTATCCTCCTGTGTAGACTTCTGCCATTTTATCAATTGACTTTGGAAATTACCGGAACACAAATAAGCAGGCTAAAAATAATGACATTTGTGAGATTAAATAAGATTTTGAAACTTGACCAAGCAGATCCGAATTTAGTTGACGTTTTACATTCAATCGAATGTTAAGTTTATACTGTAGTTACTTGGTCCGTTTTCTTACCATAATGGTTATTTCCCTTCTGCAAACTTTGAGGTCATGTTCGCTGTTAACATACATTCGTTTAAGGGCACATCTTACTCCACTGTGAGTCTTGGCTAAAAAGACTATTGCAAATCCACCTAAACAAATTAAAATACAGCAGTGTTAGCAATACAAAACCATAACTAAAATACATTTAATTTAGACGCACAAGACTTCTTCGTATTACTTTTCTAATTAAAACATATACAATATTACTTTAAGACCTATATTGCCAGTGGGTCTTTTGAGACAGTTGTTATAGTCCAACCTGTGCATTTTCAACACAAGTGGTACCCCTCTGAAAACAATCTGCACATTACCACCAAAACATAGTCAAATATTAGGATAGTTAAATTCAGAAAACGCAAAATCAAAGGGGGACTTTGTAAAAGTGAGGAAGCGATTTAAAAATGCTAGCAGGGCATTTTGAACTTTGATACCTCAATATTATTAAAAATATTGTATTTTTGCTGTCTTGTGTGCATTCCAGTTATTCAACAGATATTGCATTTCTCTCAAGGACCTTGATAGGTGAACTCCGATTGCTTTCTTTCTATCTTTAATCAAAGATAAGTCATTCACATTTTTGGCTCACCAATTAGTACAAATGTCAGCTTTTGTTTCAGCTATTGTAAAAACATTCTTGACTTTGTTTCACCGCATACATTCCTGACTAAAGAGGCACAACAATTGATCAAAAATTAATGCTAATCATGTATAGTGACTTTCACATCAGGAGGATGTCCCAAAGCACTTTATAGGATATACTGTAAAGTGCAGTGTGTGTACATAATATAAAAGGAACGAGAGGGCACTGCTGATGATTCCCAGCCACGCCAGGCTGGCTCATTGGCAGGACATGGAAGAGCAGAATCACTGGAGGCACAGAATTTCCGTGTATCGTTGGATGCATGGAACTATCACTTTGGTTGGGTTACTCTTAAACATAGCAATGAGTTTCTGCATGTGTCAGACAACTGGCTGACAAAAAAAGAAACAAAAGCTCTACATTGCAGCTATTCAAAAATGTTATTCAGACATTTCTAGCCAAACACTCTACAAGAGGCAATGTACATACAGCAAAATAATGGAACTTACGTGCAATAATTAAAACCGATTTACAAACCATTTCAGCTTTGCAACATACAATGGAATGTGTCTTATACCAGCCTGCCATACACAAAGGTTTTCAATATTTAACATCATACTTTGCTAGCAGGAATAATATGCTTTTTAAAAGAAGCAGTACATCTTAGTACGAACATTGTTTCACTGCGAGAACAATTCTCATTGATGTTTGTACAGCATACAATAAAAAACTGGTATCTTTATAGCAACTGTAACTTCAAAATATCTCAAGCATTTCACAGTCAATGCCACGTGGGACACCTTTTTTGTAGGCAAACAGTATCAGTGTAATTAGCATTGCAGGGATGACATTCAAGCCACAAAAAAACTCTAGAAAAATACATCATTTATAACAAAAAAAATCTTACAGTAAGATCTCAAGCTGCAAGAATATAAATGGTAACAAATATGATTAAAGGTGGTTTCACAGCAGACACTTTCATAAAAGGGAAGACCACAAAAGCACACCAATTTGACGACAGTGCCTATTAATGATTTTTGTTAATGCATCCTCATTCCACACTGAGTACTATTTTCCTTTACATTTCAATATTTAGAATCATTCAGTTCTTTCGCCCTCCATCCCCATCACTCAACTACAGTGAGCAACGTAAAAGTGTGGTTCACATCATGTTGCTTCACATGCTGTCTGAGGAAATGGGTCAGATTGTAAGATAGCATACAGTTGCAGTTTGCTTCACTCACCCACAATATACAGCAGGGGTGCCCACCGATTTAAATGTAACATTTCACTTTCATATTTTTGCTCGACAATTGCTAATAGTGGTCATGATACGAGCAGCCATATCTTGAAATCTTAGAAAGTCATTGTGGCATAGGAGACAACAATATACAGCTACAGTATATTTATGAAAACACAAAATACCTGTTTAATTTTCAGGAATACAAGTTCTAGAAAGAAAATCAATTTAATATTTTACCTTTGCTTAATTCTGAGAAAATGCTGTGACTTTGAAACTACATTGACCCCACATTACCACTTTACATGCCATTTAATGTGCTCGCTCACATGATTGAACTCTTTTGATCTCAAGGGCAGGTATCAGATGAAGCTTTTGTTTTAATAAATGCATATTCAAGACACAACATAGAGGAGCACAGCTCAAACAAGATGGATTATGATCAATTTTGATCAGAGAGACTGCAACAGAATAAATGAGTAAAAATTACAATATGAGAAAAGAGCAATCTGATAAGATAAGAGGAAGAAAGACATGCAACAAAACAAAGATAAATTTGTAGGAGAGCATGCACACTCAAGCAACAACATGATCTGTGCCCGCAACAAAATAATCTGAAATGAACAGTGGTCATCATAACAACAACTTGCATTTATATAACGCTCCTCACACAGGGTAACGTCCCAGACGCGCAACAATGGTGAAGCACGACACCAAGCCGGGGGGTGGAGACGGGGTGACTATAGGCACGAACGAATAGGAAGATCTTCAGGCAAGACCAGGCAAGACCAGAAGATGGGTCAAGGCGGAGGGATAGAGAAAAAGTGTTCCTGAGTTTCAAGGCCTCGTGGCTGAAAGCACAACCACCAATGCTGGAACGGAGGGCAACAGGGACATGCAGAAGGCCGGAGCCAGTTGAGCGGAGGCAGCGGGTTGTAGACACTTGTCAATTTAAAACCCCATACTTGCACAGACAACACACCAACAACTAAACTTCCAATATGATCATCTCCATAACTTTGTAAAGTCTTTGAGTTCTTATTTGGGAGAATGAAATTTAATTTGTGGGTAAGCTAGCAGCACCGCAACCTCTGTCTTCCACTATTGGATTATGAACAAACAAAAGTAAGACAGCACAGGTTCAGAGTAAGTTTGGGATAAACATCAGGAAAATCTTTACATGAAGTGCAACCAACAGCTGGAACAAGTTACTCGGAAGAGTGGTAGACCCTAGGACAATGGACTCATTTAAAAGGTAGCTCAATGCTGTCATGGGAAATCTGCAGAGTGGGTACTCTGGAAGGAAGGAATTGAAATAGTCCAAAAGGCCTTCTTCATTCAAACCTCTCTTGGCATCTAGTTATATCTACAAAAGCCCAAAAGTTAAATTGGACCCGTTAGCAAAAAATTAAAATCATATCATTGATGCTTTATAAAGGCCAGATATTGCATATTTTTATATACCACCCACTATCATAAAAATACTGTAAATTGGTTAGCATTTACAAACTGTACCTGGATCAACAAAATAATTTATGAATCAACCTTTAAAATAGTCATTTAGGAACCCAGATTTTAAAAGAAATCAGAAAAGAGGTCATTTGATTTACACCACTGAACATGTGGAATCATATCAGAAACATCTATGTTGATTTGGGAAATAAAATGAAAGGAATTGCAGTACAGAACTATTTGACCCACGAAGCCCATGCTAGGGGTACCTCCTCCTTGTATCATAAAATCTGGAGTTTAATCATTCATTGCAAAATACAGATGCAAGTGGAGTTTGATCCAAATGTCTGCACCATATAATAATACATTTTCTTCAAAATTAGTGCAAAAGATTATCTGGCAATCAATATTTATTTCAGCCTATTTATGCCAAATGACTTGAATCAATTAAAGTTGGGACACAGATCAGAGCAGCAGTTAAAAATGGAGGTCCAGGTCACACAATGGGCAATCGTTTAACTTCTAGGCTTTGTGTTCTGATTTATTTTGTAATACTAGGATAAAAGATCTTAGAGTCTAAGGAAGTCTCAACAAATTTGCTGGTGAACACAGGTCTGCAAGTAACATTCCCGATAATTTGTCACAAGTTGAGAGTCTGAATTGAGCGAAGCTTTCAGGAGTGCCCACTGCAAAATAACAACTTTGCTGCAGGTAGTGCTTTGCAGAGATTGCTGTTAAACTTTAATGCAGTAAAGAGGGAGCTGTGCTCTAGATGTACTCTGTCCTACATAATGCCTGTGATTACTCAGTCAAGGTTAGTCTTCATTCACAAACATTGCTTTCATTTTTTTAAAAATGGTGTGTGTTATTGCAATTGAGGGAAAGAGCAAAGCCCCATGTTAGGACTTTTGAGTCCATTGTTTGAACTGACATTCCAATGTTCAGGGATTATTGCATCTTTGGAGGTGCCATCGATCAGATGGGATGTTAAACTGAGGTCCTATCTGTCTGTTCGGGTGGACATTAAAGATGCTGTGACATTATTCGATAAGAGGAGTTTCTCCCAGTGTCCTAGGCCAACAATCCCCCAAGTAAAATTGGTCAGTCACTACACTCTATAGTAAATTGAATTTTCAAATGTTTTCTTTAGTTCCTAATCATTCATTTTAAAACACGGATGCAACTGGGTTTAAAAAGACTGTACGGTACAATGTGTTACAATATATTATATTCATTCCAAGACATGACAAACAGACCAGCTATTCTGAGTCTTTTCCCATATAAACAGCAAAGGTTTTGATAGCATTGCTTCCCAATCCATTTTTTAGGAAGTTAGCCTGGATGGGTCGAATTTCAAAAGTACCAAATTATTTTTAAAAAATAACTCCTGGGGCATGATAACTTGTAACTTCATCTCCTTGTCATATTGAAGAATTTGCAAATCAAGATAGGAAAAAGAGCATTGGTATTGCATACTATCAAAGGAGTTCACAGAAGACAGGAAGTATCCCTGTCAAATTTCTGACTGTCCAGCAACTGGGGACGTCCTCCTGACATGAAAGGTGCTATACAAATGTAATACTATGTTTTTATTAAATACAGTTGCTTACCAATTAAAGTTGACATGAGAAATATTTGTTTTCCCAATTTTTTTCTTGCTCAATTGGCAACAACAACATGCCTCATCATCCTTGCTAGCCTTCGGTGGCCAGGGATATCGACTTTGACTCAGATTATTTGAATCCCATGAGCAGAAGATAGTTTATTTGCTACCTTCTGCTCGATGGATTCAAATAATTACAATGGCAGTATTGGCATTGTACAGTTGCACACCGAACCGGATTCCCCCCATTGGTCTGGCCAGTCGGGGTTTAAGTGTACAATAAATATACTACATATAAAAGCAGGATTGAGATTGTATTAATAACAAAAGTATAATGTACTTATTACTGAGAAAACCCTTCATATTATGTGAATACTGTCGATGCTCAAACTAGGTTTTAAGTTGCATTTCCTGTTCTGGAATCAATCATTCCTAGATAAGTTCAACTCCAGCAAAAAGGCCCAAGCTTTTAATATCCCCCAAAAAGTACTTTGAAACTTGATCTTGGATACACTATTTAATACGTGAATACGAATCACATTGTTTGATTATTAGTGCAAACGGCAATGACCCCCACAACAACAAATTACATTTGTATAGTGCCTTTCACATCAAAGGGACATTCCAAGGTGCAGAGCTGGTGGTTGGGATCACTAGGGTTTAGATCTGCTTTTTTTGCATTCACATTGGAGAAACACAATTGTTACTGTGCTCCATTCCTGAGCAAATTGAACATATACTAAAATATTCCAATCCTGTATGCGTCAGTGATCATCTTAGAACTCAGATATACTTATGTGGTCAACTTAATAACAAGCATTCCTGCCCCATACTTCACAAATACTTGTACCACAAAAACAAGGAGAACAGGTTGCCCAATGCCCTTAGCTGTTAAATTTTTCTTTAACCCATAGCTATTCGTGGGAGCTCACGTATACTCAATTATACTGCAATGTTAACTGTTCCTTAACACATTAAACATTCTAAATAATTCATTCACATTCAGAATAATACACTCCTCTGCATCTGCTAACCAAGCAATTTTGTTCGACAATCATTTCAAGTTGTGTTAAAAGTGACTATACTTGAGCGCACTGACACCATTACACTACTGTTTATCTTTTCTTTTCTGTGTACATTAGTGAATAAATACTAGAACTGGAGAGCTGGCCAACATGTGTTTTATTTAGCAAACATGCTTTTCACCAACAATGTAAAAGCACACTGCCTATATCTGAATTTTCTTATTTCCAAACGAGACATTCACACAATCTCCAAATCAGATTACCAGTAAAGGGCCAATTTTAACAAATTCTGAACCATTTTGTGACAGGATATATCCAATTGGAGGTGGACTGAGATAACTCGAACCAGTTATTCATTATTGTAAACAGATTGAAGGGAGACTTCATTCCTCTGGGTGCTGGTTTCAAACCCAAACCCCAAGAGGAATGCTAACCCACAAGATCATCTAATTCAGTAGTCTTTTGGAGGTTTCTTTTGAAAAGTTGTACAGAAAATATCACACATACACACACCCCAGAGTATTTATAGTCTGCAAAATACAATGATACAAACAGAATACATTTTTCAGTTAGGAAATTTTAATTTTAAAGCAGCATCTTCTAAAATGAATAGGAATGCAATATTGAACGTACAGTACTAGTTACTGCAATTAGTCTTTTTGAACATGCTATCTGAACATCTTTCATAATATTTAACTTATACTCAAGTACAGAATAAATACTGCAAATGCCCATTTTAAAGAGCTTATCAAGAAAATTATATATCACTCCCATTACATTTTAATGTGTCGTTAACAGAATGATGACCATGTTTTTGCTCAAGTTATTTGGAATCATCTGCCAGAAATATTTCAATTTAGGAGCGCAAGTAAAGAACACATAATTAAAGGTCAGTGCAATCTTCAGTCGTCTGCCACCGCACAAATTAAACAAAAATGTTTCCTTTACTATGTGAATAGATTTAACTTTCACAGTGACAGATACTGTTGATCAAAAGATAGATCAAAATGAAACTGAGCATAACTGAGCATTTTTCTAATGGGTATGTCAAAACAATTTACTGTTGACCTTGAATTGTGACCCTTTCGTAACTGAATCAAGTGAGCAATGATACCTTCACGTGCAAAAAAAAAATACCCAGAACACATCGTTACTGATGGGTGCCAGTGGAATTTAAGAAATTCTTTAGAAGAATTCTGGAATATCAACTTCTACTGACAATGCTGGATGGAATAGGAGACTCTGAGCTGACTAAACAAAACATGCTGGAACGCTCATTGATGGATTGCTGTTTCACCCATTAAATCTTTTGCTGTGTTATCCAACTGCTTCCTTAGATTACAAAAATAGCACTTTAGATTTTCATATCTACACTCCCCTTCTCCCCCACATCTGCGCCATGACTGACACTGCCTATCACCATCTCTGCAATATTGCCAGACTCCGCCACTGCCTCACCCCTCAGGCTGCCAAAACCCTCACCCATGCATTCGGCTTGATTATGGAAACTCCCTCCTCATTTGCCTTTCCAACGTTTCCCTACACAAGCTGCAGATCATCCAAAACTCTGCACCTCGTGTACTCTCATGCACCAGGCTCCGTGATCCCATCACTCCTGCCCTCGCCCAACTCCACTGGCACCCCGTCCTCAAGAGGATCGAATTTAAGATCCACGTCCTCACTTTCAAGGCCATCCATGACCTTGGCCCCTCCTACCTCTCTGACCTGCTGACTCCCTACTAACCTGCCCTCTCTTTCCGTTCAGGGGGCTCCGGCCTGCTCCATGTCTCCCGCCCGACCCGCCCTACCATCGATGGCCGGGCTTTCAGCCTCTCTGCCCCCACACTCTGGAACTCCATCCCTCAGTCCCTTTGCCTCGATTCCTCCCTTGCCTCCTTTAAGGCCAGTCTCAAGACCCTCCTCTTCGATTGTGCCTTCAGTCACCCTCCCACCTCTCTGCCTTCCCTCACCCCATCTCACCCCTCCCCATGTTCAGGTCCTGACCCCTGACTGTCCAGCGCCTTGGGACGTCCTCCCAACGTGAAAGGCGCTCCATAAATGTAATTTTGTTGTTATTGTTCACACTGGCAATTTGGATTCAAATGCAATTATCAATCACAATACCTGCCAATATAGGTATAACAGTGTACATGCGACTATTATTAGGGCTGATAGTGTGTCTTTGGAACAAGAATGCAATTTAATTAATCTCCACCAGTAATTTTACTAAGTCATTTGCAGTATTTCAACTCTTTTAGGAGTGCTGAGTACTGGGAAAGAACAATTTATGCATTACTAGTCTCAAATGATACCATGATACGCAGAAATGATTTGCATCATCGTATTATGCGTTTTAAAACAAAGGAAGTTTACCAGCACAGAAAGGATTGCCTAACGGTTCTGTACATTCTTATACGAAGACACTTCCCCATTGACAGCGAGACCTACATGTGAAAAGACCAATTACTCCTTCCAACTTTGCTGAACGATCAAGTGTTTTTGCCAAAATGGTCTGACGGTTGTGAAACCAACAGTTAATGAAAGACGTTGGCAGTGAAAGACAGGAAAATACTAATTTTCGGTACGTATAGCAATAAGTCTCCCGCTTTGCCACTTTGGATATAAAATTCAATGAACAGTAATTGATGTGCGAGCACCCAACAATAGTTAGAATGATAGGGCACAGAAACAGGCCATTCAACCCTTGTCCGTGCCAGTGTTTATGATCCACAAGAGCCTCCACCCATCCTACGATCATCTACTCCATTTTCCCTGATGCAGACATCAAGTTTTATGTATAAAAAAGAATTCTGTTTTGTTTCACTTTGGGACAAGGAGACTTCAAGGAGTCCTGGAGGTGGGAGGGAGGGAGCGAGGGCGGGGGGTGGGCGAGGGCGGGGGAGGGCAGGGGGTGGGGGGGGGGAGGGCAGGGGTGGGGGGGGGAGGGCAGGGGGTGGGGGGGGCGAGGCGGGGGTGGGCGGGGGGGCGAGGGCGGGGGTGGGGGGGCGAGGGCGGGGCAGGGGGTGGGGGGGCGAGGGCAGGGGGTGGGGGGGCGAGGGCAGGGGGTGGGGGGGGGGGGGGGGGGGGCGAGGGCAGGGGGTGGGGGGGCGAGGGGGGGGGGGGGGGGGGGGGGGCGGGGCAGGGGGGGGGGGGGCGAGGGCAGGGGGGGGGGCGAGGGCAGGGGTGGGGGGGGCGAGGGCAGGGGGTGGAGGGGGGCGAGGGCAGGGGGTGGGGGGGCGAGGAGGGGGGCGAGGGCAAGGGGTGGGGGGGGCGAGGAGGGGGGCGAGGGCAGGGGGTGGGGGGGCGAGGGCAGGGGGTGGGGGGGGGAGAAGCGAGGGCAGGGGGGGGCGAGGGCAGGGGGTGTGGGGGGGAGAAGCGAGGGCAGGGGGTGGGGGGGGGGAGAAGCGAGGGCAGGGGGGGGCGAGGGCAGGGGGTGTGGGGGGAGAAGCGAGGGCAGGGGGTGGGGGGGGAGCGAGGGCAGGGGGGGGGGGAGGGCAGGGGGTGGGGGGAGGGCAGGGGGGGGGGGGGAGGCAGGGGTGGGGGGGAGAAGCGAGGGCGGGGGTGGGGGGGGAGGGAGGGTGGGGGGGGGGGAGGGCAGGGGGTGGGGGAGAAGCGAGGGCGGTGGGGGAGAAGGGGGCAGGGTGGGGGGGGGGCGGGGGGGGGGGGGGGGGGGGGGGGGGGAGGGAGGGCAGGGGGTGGGAGCGAGGGCAGGGGGAGGGGGGGTAAGGGAGGGAGGAGATGGCCGAGGCTGCAGTCGGAGCGCTTCTCGGGTCAGGTTAGACTTTGCGCCTCCAGTCCCCGTGTCAGTCGCTCCCTGGAACCATCTGGAAGCCCCGGGAACATTCCAGCCGGTGCCTCGCGCAGCCGCCCTCAACCGCCAACCGCGCGCCGCCACCGCCCCCGTACCTTCCGCTATGAGCTCCTCCACCGTGACCTGGTACCGGCCCACAGTGTACACCTTCCCCTGAAAGGAGCCGCCGCCGCCGCCTCCGCCGCCCGAGCTCCCGCCGAGGCCGCCCGCGCCGGCCGCCGCCGAGCCTTCCCTCCGGGCGTCGAAAAACTTCTTCATCGCCTTTCCTTCCCTTCAGCTCCTCGCCGTCCGGGTCGGCATCGGCGGCTGGTCCTCGGGCGGGTGGGTGAGTCGCCCGTCTCTCCCCGCACAGCGAGAGGCGCGGACCTTCCTCCTCCACCTGCCGCCGGGCGGTGAGCGGTCACTGCGGGCCGGAAGCGGAAATCTAACACGTACACATGGCCCGAGGCAACTGTCACTGTGCGGCGCTGTCACTGGGACACTGGGGCTCCAGCGCTGAGACTGGGACTCCAGCGCTGACACTGGGGCTCCAGCACTGTCACTGGGGCTCCAGCGCTGTCACTGGGACTCCAGCGCTGACACTGGGGCTCCAGCGCTGTCACTGGGGCTCCAGCGCTGTCACTGGGACTCCAGCGCTGACACTGGGTCACTGGGGCTCCAGCGCTGTCACTGGGACTCCAGCGCTGACACTGGGTCACTGGGGCTCCAGCGCTGACACTGGGGCTCCAGCGCTGACACTGGGTCACTGGGGCTCCAGCGCTGACACTGGGTCACTGGGGCTCCAGCGCTGACACTGGGTCACTCGGGCTTCAGTGCTGATACTGGATCACTGGGGCTCCAGTGCAGCTACTGGATCACTGGGACTTCAGCGCTGACACTGGGTCACTGGGGCTCCAGCACTGACACTGTGTGACTGAGGCTTCAGCAATGACACTGTGTGACTGAGGCTCCAGCACTGACACTGTGTGACTGGGGCTCCAGCACTGTAACTGTGACTGGGGCTCCAGCACTGTCACTGTGTGACTTGGGCTCCAGCACTGACACTGTGTGACTGGGGCTCCAGCGCTGACACTGGGTCACTGGGGCTCCAGCACTGACACTGTGTGACTGAGGCTTCAGCAATGACACTGTGTGACTGAGGCTCCAGCACTGACACTGTGTGACAAGGGCTCGCTCCAGCAATGTCACTGGGGCTCCAGCACTGTCACTCTTGGGGCTCCAGCGCTGTCACTGGGGCTCCAGCACTGTCACTGTGTGACTGGGGCTCCAGCACTGTAACTGTGACTGGGGCTCCAGCACTGTCACTGTGTGACTGGGGCTCCAGCACTGTCACTGTGTGACTGGGGCTCCAGCACTGTCACTGTGTGACTTGGGCTCCAGCGCTGTCACTGTGTGACTTGGGCTCGCTCCAGCAATGTCACTGGGGCTCCAGCACTGTCACTCTTGGGGCTCCAGCACTGTCGCTGTGTGACTGGGGCTCCAACACTGTCGCAGTCTGTTGTGTTTCCAAAGCCAATGCTCGCTGCAATTGGGACTCCAACACGGTCACTGTTGCGTCTCCAGTGTTTCCATAGCTCGTACTCATTGGGTAACTCAGACACCAATGATGCCACTACTGCTCGCTGCTGTGTTTCCACAGCTATTAGTCACTCCAACTGGGGCTCCATTTCCCAATTAGTCTTTCTTACATGTCACCTGGCAATCGAGCTTGCAATCTGCAGCTGCTTTTTAATATTGTTAGCAATGTGATCCTCCATATAATTCATAAATAAGAAAGACCAAGCCAGGATAGTTAAGTACCTTGGCACACCCTCCTGATATGAAAGGTGCTACATAAATGTAAATTTGTATTGCAAATAATGTGAATAGAGGGGCGGAGGAGACAGATTCCTGTGAAACTTTACTAATCAGTGCCTGCCATGACCTCTTGACAAACAACAATTTTCCCCTGAAAAACACAAATATTAAATGCTTGAAAACACATCAGAAAAATCATAGTTTCCACCTTTTATTAACAATAGAGCAAAAGGAAATGATCGATCAGATCTTGTTACAGTGTCAACAGTCATGCTGTAAAAAAATTGCAACAGATTTGTTTTTAAAGCAAACAGTAAAACCATGTCATCTTGAGTTCATGTTGGTCTATTGTAAATACTGCAACCAAGTGTTATACTGCAATATCTTGATGACCTTCTTGGCATCTTAAATTTGTATTGCTTGATGTTGCATTGAGTCACATGTTGTATGGAGTTGAGATTTTGGTGGTTATGATTTACGTAGTGTAGTTATGTAGTGTTGAGATTAAAAAAAATCATTTTTGCATCTGATGGAGTGGGGCTGAATTTGAAACATCTCAAAGTGCTTTGCAAAATATTGTCAAGTATAGTGACTGTGCATTTGTAGTCAAACACGGCCAGCAAATGGCACATAGCAAGGCACCACAATGAGCTTTTAAGTGAATTTATCTGGAGAATCCTAGGCCACATCATCGGGAGAAACTCTTTCTTTCTTTGAATAATGTAATGGAATTTAAGATCTGCCTGATTGAATAGCATTTGTTCAACCCAGTGACACTGATGTAAATCAAATTTTGACTGTCTGTGATCTGTGAAAAACAATGCTCTCAGAGCATTACATCAGATCAATGATCCCAATACACAGTTTCCAGTCCTCAATCTCCCTTGTTTTAACCCTGTATAGGTCTGTATGCAAAGCAGGACTATTAATCATGATAAAATTCATCCTTGCAGTTTTACGAAGGTTAAATCAAGATGCTGATTAAAATTTTGCTGATATTTTTTCCCTAGCGCCTTATCATGTCGTTGAAACATCTCAAAGCGCTTCGCAGAATATAAAGTACATGTTTTGTGGGCAAAATGTGGCAGCCAATTACACAGCAGTGTCCCACAAACAGTCGTGGATTGAGTAACCAAATTATTTTTTAAAAATCTTTTGAAGGGATTATTACCCCTGGAAAGCGATCCACCAATTGGCTAAGAACCAGGTTCATACTCACCGCTTGGCAAACAGGCGTGTGGAGTAAGGAAACTTGCTTACGGTTTCGCCTTTCCGGAAATCAAACCTGAGTCCTCTTGCTTGCGAGGCAAGTGCTCTGACCAACAAGCTACAGAACTCCACAATATTCATACGATAAGAACTTGCTGAATTTCTGAATTCCAGTTAAAAGCTTTCAAAACTCCCTTGGTAATAAACACTTCCAAGATTCACAACATTCAATTTTATTTCAACCAAATGTGTTCATGGTGAACTCATTTCATTTACACGTATTACGCCCATATAAAACTGCTGGCCTGAAGCCAATTAGTCATTAGCTCCGAAACTCATGGATGATTTAGGAGTATCACTGCACTGAAAAATTCCACAGATCTGTTGAACCTCATGGAGAGACGCTCTTAGCTGAATACATTACTGTACAAAGTTTAGAAACATCAAGCCAAATTCCATTTACAATTTTCCCAGCCCTTACTACTTAAATGGTAAACCTTAGTTTAAAAACAGTTTGATGGTGTCTTATGACCATGTTTACTAACAATAAATTGTAACAAAAATGTGAACTTGATATGAGCACATTGATACTAGATTCTTTAGTGCTGGATTTTACAAAGAGGAGTTGAACTTGGGCAGATTTACTCTCCTGATATGAAGAAGGCTTTGGATAGAATTTCCGCTGCTTCTAGATTTATCATCAGTTTGTGCAGTATTTTGAACAGTGTGTTTGTTACTATTTGAATTCATAAAGAAGCAGCTTATTCAATTATTAAAGGATAGGCTAGTTATTATTCTCCAGCTCAATGCTCACAATTTTTTATCACTGCTGGTGATGGAGACAGTGGACCTGTGTTTACTTTACACAAGAAAAGCATTGTAACACTGTCAGACAATGAGCACACATTTTAAGCAATTCATGCTTTTAGTATTTAAACAACTTAAATATTAGTGTCAGCTGAGTGTCTGACACATGCAGAAACCTGTCATTATGCTTGAGTATTTCCAAACCCAAATAATGGAAATTTCCATTTATCTGGAATGGAGTGTGTACTCCCTCCATGGGAGACCTGTCTAAGTCCTGGGGAGTCAGGTTGGCTGATCCATCGTTACATCTAGGGCCTGTAAAATTGGGTGCAATGTGACTATTACCACAACAAATTTGTTCTCTCAATGGCACTCGTTAGACCTTGGTTTGTCACTCATACCCTACCCCTTCCACATTGGCATCACCACCCTTCTCTCAAACACAGTCACAGGATGTGGTTAGTATCCTCCTATGCTGTTCAATATGGAATGATTCATCTAATTGTGAGATCATCTATGGATGGCAGTATTTCTTCACCATAATATTTAGTAACTTATTCTTTTTTTGTAATGTTCCAAAATAATTTCAATGTACATTTATACTCAGCAAATAGTAATCATATTTTCCTGTTTCTTGGGTTTGACTGAATGTCGTTTCATATCCATAGCTGACAAGTATTTTTGGCGTACATTTCCTTTTTCATTTCAATCCATTATTGTGGACTATTCTCTCTTATATCTTCATTCAAATGATTTACAACCTCCAACATTTCTTCTATGCAAAACAGCTTTTAAGGTTATGTCTTTGTTGAACAGAGTTAATACAAAAAATGAGCCCAGAGCTGTTTAAAACAGACAAGTCACAATAAAAATGCATGATGCTTATAGAGTGCCTTCAATGAGAATACAAGACATCTAAATGAAAACCATCTAAATGAATTACTTAAAAAGAGCAAGAAATACAATGTATGTAGCATTATTGAAACTCCCAACCTCTGGACGCAACTATAAATCATTTAATGTTGTTGTTTCCTTTGGATTAATTATGTTGGAGAAGTGCATTTTACATCTAAAAATAGAAGACATTATTAAACTGATTGAATAATATAAGCAAAAAGTGAAATATAGCACTAAATCAGTGAAGATTTTAATGTGATTATATTATACTTGACAATATGTTGATACTGAACGTACTGGATTTGACTCGAGACTTTTATTGCAGTTTTAACAGTTGTCACTAAGAGGCACTGTTGATCACTAAAATACCTCTGAATGCCAGATCAGTTTTCTCAGTCACAAATATCAACATTAAGATTAGAATTCACCTAAAACAAACTTTAAAAGCCTTATTACAAACTCCCCAAAACAGTTTTATAGAAATATTTATCAACACATATCTCTTCAACACATATCTCTTCACAGTAAAATCTTGTGAAGCACGTAGAGACATGTCAACAATGTGATAAGGCTCTATATGAAATGCAAGGGCACAGTACAGTTTGCCTGGTTTTAGGTAGATGTTAAAGATTCCACGATACTATTCAAAGAAAGGATTAGAATTTCTCCCAGTTTTCTGACCA